GTCCTAAATTTCAGGGTGATCAAGAAGATCATCAAGAAAGCCGACGGAACCGAATCGGTGACTACAGAGACTCGAGTTGAACAAGAAACGGCTGGGATGGGAAGAAGTCCCGCACCTAGGTGATTTATATAATATCTAAATAGTTTACTTACTTAGTTTCTTCCTTAGCTTCTTCCTTAGTTTCTTCTTTAGTCTCTTCCTTAGTTTCTTCCTTAGTCTCCTCCTTAGTCTCTTACTTAGTCTCTTCCTTAGCTTCTTCCTTAGTCTCTTCCTTAGTTTCTTCCTTAGTCTCTTACTTAGTCTCTTCCTTAGCTTCTTCCTTAGTCTCTTCCTTAGTCTCTTCCTTAGTCTCTTACTTAGTCTCTTCCTTAGCTTCTTCCTTAGTCTCTTCCTTAGCTTCTTCCTTAGTCTCTTCCTTAGCTTCTTCCTTAGTCTCTTCCTTAGCTTCTTCCTTAGTCTCTTCCTTAGTCTCTTCCTTAGTTTCTTCCTTAGTCTCTTACTTAGTTTCTTCCTTAGTTTCTTCCTTAGTTTCTTACTTCTTACTTTCGTAGTTATATGTTTCACGAGTTTTATTCAATTCTATCTTGATAGCTTTCCTTTATCTCTCCTGTCTACAGCTTCCCTATCATCTTCCCTTTTTTCCTCTCGACGTTAAAATGCTCCCAATCTTCTACAGAATGTTGAGCTTTATCCGCATTCGAAAGAGCTCACTTAGAGGATGGAGCTTTATTAGAAGAGGCTTTATTAGAAGAGGCTTTATTAGAAGGGCTTCTATTAGAGAGGTGGACAATTACAAGAAAAACAATGCTATGTTTTAAGACTAGGCTTTCAAAGCCAAATTCAAAGCCTTTCAAAGCCCTATTTTAAGCCTAAACGGTCACGATGTGTCAAGCGCTTTGGTGAATGGTTCAGATAAACAACGAATGTCACCAATCGAGAATGGGGAAGATAAAAAGAAAGTGAGTATAAATAGATAGAATAGAAATATTTATCGGCCAATTGTTTAGGATTCACCGATGACTTTCGGCTACGGCGAGATCAGCAACAAGCGAGCGGAGAGCCCGAAAATGAATGGAGATTTGATCATTACAAATGGGTTTGTTAAATCGAGACAAGTTTACGCTGGTTGGATTACGGTAGTTGGATTACGGTAGTTACGATAGTGAGAAAATTTTGCGGGCAGCTTTTGCTCTTTCTTTCCCTCTTCTTCTGCGATCCTCCCCCCTTCTTTTGCCATTTTTCTCGGGGGATGGAAAAGCCGCTGTGGGGAGATTTTCTGGCGGAGTCGGGATGGGTGAAGGCTTGGTCGAAGGTTTGATTCCTCTCAAAGATGAATGAAAATATTCGAACTTTTTTTTTAGTTGTTTTTTGTTCACGAAGGAGCAGAGGGAGCAGAGGGAGCAGAAGAAGCAGGAGAAGCAGAAGAAGCAGGAGAAGCAGAAGAAGCAGGAGGAGCAGGAAAAGCAGAAGAAGCAGGAGGAGCAGGAAAAGCAGGAGGAGCAGGAGGAGGAGCAGGAGCAGGAGGAGCAGAAGAAGTAGAAGAAGCAGAAGAAGCAGAAGAAGCAGGAAAAGCAGAAGAGGCAGAAGAAGCAGAAGAAGGAGGAGGAGGGGCAGGAGCAGAAGGAGGAGCAGGAGGAGAGGAGGAACAGGAGAGGAGAATAATTGAATCTAGTTTACATTAAGCCGTTGATTGCTTTTAGTGAAAGATAAAAAACTTTATATTAAGATCTTTTAGCAGTACGATCTCGAAAGAGCGCAAAGATGCGCTTTTGTCGAAATATTTGAATGGAAATGGTGATGAAACGCAAATGGAGAGCGTTCCACAAACAAATGGACACAATGGGTATCATAATGAGAATGAAACGTCGATTCGGACATTGTCGAAGCTCAATGGAGACTCGAGTGGATACACGAGTGGGAACTCATCAATCGACACACCGAACGGCTTGGATTCAGGACCGAGGTGTGTTTGGTTTGGGCTTGGCTTGCGTTCAGCACTTTGTACTCAAACATTTGTGCTTTCTGGCGCACTGAATACAATGAGAACTCATAGCAGCCAGTGACCTACTTGATAAACAGGATTGTTAGAGACTATAAGTCAAACAAGGACAGACCAGAGCTCATTATCAGCTAGCCTAGTCCAGACCAGAGTCAGACCGAGGTTTGTCGGGCTATAAGATCTTTTTTGAGCTCAAGTCAAGACCAGGTTTGAGCCAGAGCTTGATCAAGTAAGGCCAGCCAAGGTCAGAAGTTAGGCACTGATCTAGCCAAAGCCAGAAATCAGCCAGAGCCAGAAACCAGCCAGAAAGCCAGCTCTAACCATACAAGCTTTGTGAGGTCACCTCTAGATTAGAACCTGATTTCTGGACCTGGATCTGGTCTTGTCTAGCTTGGCCTGGACCTGGATCTGGTCTTGTCTAGCTTGGCTTGGCCTGGATCTGGTCTTGTCTAGCCTGGCTTGGCCTGGATCTGGCCTTGTCTAGCCTGGCTTGGCCTGGATCTGGTCTTGTCTAGCTTGGCCTGGACCTGGATCTGGTCTTGTCTAGCTTGGCTTGGCCTGGATCTGGCCTTGTCTAGCTTGGCTTGGACCTGGATCTGGTCTTGTCTAGCTTGGCTTGGACCTGGATCTGGTCTTGTCTAGCTTGGCCTGGACCTGGATCTGGTCTTGTCTTGCTTGGCTTGGCCTGGATCTGGTCTTGTCTAGCTTGGCCTGGACCTGGATCTGGTCTTGTCTTGCCTGGCTTGGCCTGGATCTGGTCTTGTCTAGCCTGGCCTGGACCTGGATCTGGTCTTGTCTAGCCTGGCTTGGCCTGGATCTGGTCTTGTCTAGCCTGGCTTGGCCTGGATCTGGTCTTGTCTAGCCTGGCCTTGCCTGGATCCTGATACTTGTCAAGCTTGGCCCTGGATCTGGTCTAATGTCATAGCCTGGCTTTCGGACTAGACATCAGGACTAGACTAACATCAGGAACAAATACTTGTCCAATCAATCTTTCTCCATTCAGTTCCTCCTCCCTTCTCACTCCATCCTGGTCATCGACCCTCACTTCATGCTCTTCTCTTTCTCGTTCTCCATCCACTTCATCAACGATTCGCCCCGAAGACTTTGATCATGCTGCTTCGAGGTCCAGGTTGCACCCATTTCAAGCACCCTTTGCTTTTCTTAATCTTTCCATTAGCCGAAAGTGCTAGTAATGGACAGGAGTGGGTTACTGTAGGCGTAACCTCGCCTAGCTCTTACAATAAGCACTTTTGACAATTCTCCTAACATCACAGTTACCGTAGCTCTTTTTGGACAAATTCTTCTCTTACAGAACTCGTTCGGATCGACTCCGTCAACGTTTGGCGAGTCTTGATCGACAAAATGGAGTCAATGGAGAGAATGGGATCACAAATGGATCCAGCAGTATTTTGGAGAGGTTTGGCGTTGACTTTAACTTTGAGAACCAAAAATTTTGGTTAGAAATAGAGTGAGAAGAAGCCAGAAAAGAGAAAAAGAGTGAGAAGAAGCCAGAATTTCATATCTGTATTCATTTCTGTTTAGAGTTTCCCCTTCTCGTCTCGGCACTCCATCATCGTCATCGATTCTCGGTGAATCTGATGATTTAACCGATTTGAGGAAAAGACTCATCGGTTTACAAAGGGATTCCTCTTTCACAAGCAGCTCAACGATCAATGAAAAGGTGAGAAAGATACCAGAATCTAAGAAAGATACCGGAATCTCGTTAACTTACGATCTGACGATCTTCAGCTTCTTATCTTTAGCTTCTTATCCTCAGCTTCTTATCTTCAGCTCCTTGCTCTTTAGCTGTCTTTAGCTCAGCTTCAGTTTTAGCTCAGCTTCAGTTTCATCTCACATCAATTTCCAGTTCCAATCGGCTCTCCTCGCTTCTCGTCGTTCTAGTCAAGGCCCCGAATCGGGCCAACTTCAACCATCCTCTTCCCGTAGTCGACTTTTTGATCACAATCGGAAAAGTCGATCACCACCATTGGGACCGATTGTTGAGGGTAAGAGAAAGAGCAATTTGAGACTAATTTTCCCTTTCAAAACCTGAAATAGCACGACTACCTATTCCATTGTATAACTTTTATCCTTTGAGTGACTCTAACTTGTCTAGTAGCAAATCTGGCTCGCTAGAAGCTTTGAGAATAGTTTCAGAAAGCACAGTAGCCATTCTAGGGTTGCTGTAGCCATTCTAGGGTTACTGTAGCCATTCCAAGGCTACTGTAGCCATTCTAAGGTTACTGTAGTCATTCTATGGTCACTGTAGCCATTCCAAGGCTACTGTAGCCATTCTATGGTCACTGTAGCCATTCCAAGGCTACTGTAGCCATTCTAGGGTTACTGTAGCCATTCTATGGCCACTGTAGCCATTCTATGGCCACTGTGGCCATTCTAAGGTTACTGTAGCCATTCGAAGGTTACTGTAGCTTGCATAAGGTCACTTTAGCTGCTACAAGCTGCTATTGAGTACTGTAGCAGCTTTTGGGATTACTGTGGCTGACTGTGGCTGGGATTAGGATACTGTAGCTGCCTCTAGGGTACTGTAGCTGTCCCTGGGGTACTGTCGGGTCACTATAGCTGTTCTAGAGTTGCGGTAACCTCTGTAGGGTTATCGTAGGTACTGTAGCCATTGTTGTAGGTACTATAGCCATTGTTGTAGGCACTGTAGCCATACTGTAACCGTTCTACGGACTGTAGGATTACTATAGCTTCTCTGGAGGTAATTATGTTCAAACTTTTGTTCAAACTGTAGATACTGTTAGTTTGGAAGGTGCAAAAAGCTATAAGTATAGATGATTGTAGAAAGTTCTAATAAAATTTCCAAAGCCACACCGCAAAGCTTTCACTTCACTGTACCGTATTTGCGCTTAAGCTTTCCTTTGCTTTATAAACTCTGCAACTTTCCATGATCCGCTTTTAAGCTTCAAACAGGACTAAAATACAACTAAAGAACCTACTTTGCCTTTGTTCCGAAAAAGTGTACTTGAAAAAAGCTACAGTAAACCAGATCAACCAAGATAAGGTAGCTTTTGTCTAGGTGTACCTTTTAGAAATCACCGGAGCACAGCCAATCCCAAATCCCTGTTACTTACAGCTTTCAGATTCTAATCAAATCACTTCTAATTCTAAAGTTTCACAAACCTTTCATCAACAATCCCTTCTCAAACTATTCTTTTCACTTTGGCTCGATTTTCAGTCGAATCGGCGGACGGGCAAAAAGTGAAGAATTGCGAGATTTGCACGGATCCCCTGGTGAATTGTGGATGTGGTGGAAAAGGGAAAAGGAGGACGAGTCAAGAGATTATTGGTTAGGGATATCGATTGAGATATCGTTTGAGACATGCAAGATTAATATCCGATGCTTAAAAATTGCGACCTTTTTCCGAGATAAAAACCACTTAACTTAACATTAGTTGGTATCAAGTTCGTGGAGGAGATACGGTTCCAATACGGTTTTTTTTGTTCTACGGTTCCAATACGGTTCTTTTTTTGTTCTACGGTTCCAATACGGTTCTTTCTTTGTTCTAATACGATCTAAAAGAAAGAAAGTGGATCCAAAAAAAACTACAAACAAAACTTTCGCCATAGAAAATGATAAAAACCACTTCTTAATGGCATCAAGTTCGTGGAGGAGACCTAAAAGGAAGCAAGTGGATCTAAAAAACTATACAAACAAAGATCGAGCTATAGAAAATGATAATAACCACTTAACTTAATGGCATCAAGTTCGTGGAGGAGATCTAAAAGGAAGGAAGTGGATCTAAATAACAACAAATAAAGCTTCTGCCATAGAAAATGATAAAAACCACTTAACTTAACATTAGCTGATATCAATTCGTAGAGCAGATCTAAAAGGAAGCAAATTAATCTAGAAAACTCTACAAACAACTACAAACAAAGCTTCCGCCATAGAAAATGATAAAAACCACTTAACTTAACATTAGTTGGTATCAAGTTCGTGGAGGAGATCTAAAAGAAAGAAAGTGGTTCTAAAAAAATTATAAACAAAGCTCGAGCTATAGCTATAGCTATAGAAAATGATAAAAACCACTTAACTTAACATTAGTTAGTACCAAGTTGGTGGAGCAGATCTAAAAGGAAGCAAGTGGATCTAAATAACAAAAAACAAAGCTTCTGCCACAGAAAATGATAAAAACCACTTAACTGAACATTAGTTGGTATCAAGTTCGTGGAGGAGATCTAAAAGAAAGAAAGTGGTTCTAAAAAAATTATAAACAAAGCTCGAGCTATAGCTATAGCTATAGAAAATGATAAAAACCACTTAACTTAACATTAGTTGGCATCAAGTTCGTGGAGCAGATGTAAAAGGAAGGAAGTGGATCTAAAAACTCTACAAACAACTACAAATAAAGTTTCTGCCATAGAAAATGATAAAAACCACTTAACTGAACATTAGTTGGTATCAAGTTCGTGGAGGAGATCTATTGGGTTGTCCAGTTATGAATGCGCGTTTTTATCTTTTTCTTGATTTCGATATCTTGAGAAATTTACAAAATAGTAAAAAACGCGCATTCATAACTGGACAATCCAATAAAAGGAAGCAAGTGGATCTAAAAACCTCTACAAACAACTATAAACAAAGCTTCCGCTATAGAAAATGATAAAAACCACTTAACTTAACATTAGTTGGCATCAAGTTCATGGAGGAGATTTAAAAGGAAGGAAGTGGATCTAAATAACAACAAACAAAGCTTCCGCTATAGAAAATGATAAAAACCACTTAACTTAACATTAGTTGGCATCAAGTTCATGGAGGAGATTTAAAAGGAAGCAAATGGATCTAAATAACAACAAACAAAGCTTCCGCCATAGAAAATGATAAAAACCACTTAACTTAACGTTATTTGGCATCAAGTTCATGGAGGAAGGAGCAAGTGGATCAAACACAAACAGCCCCTATAAAAGAAAACCACTAACTTACATTGTTGGCATCAAGTTCATGGAGGAGATTAAAAGGAGAAGTGGATCTAATAACAACAAACAAAGCTTCCGCTATAGAAAATGAAACCACTTAACTTAACATTAGTTGGCATCAAGTTCATGGAGGAGATTTAAAAGGAAGCAAGTGGATCTAAATAACAACACAAAGTCCGCTATAGAAAATGATAAAAACCACTTAACTTAACATTAGTTGGCATCAAGTTCATGGAGGAGATTTAAAAGGAAGCAAGTGGATCTAAAAAACCCTACAAACAAAGCTTCTGCCACAGAAAATACTGTTAAAAACATAACTTAGCTTTATTCTCTTTATTTCCTGCAAAAACAAACGCAAAAACAAACAAAAACATCAGAAAAACGTAAAAAGAATAAATTGAAATGTCCAATAATGAAAAAGAAATGAAATGAAATGAATAAGAATGAAAAGAATGAAATTTTGGGCCAATTGGAGGGGTACGGTAGTTCTACCACGCTTTAAAGCGCCAAGCTAGAATTTCCTCGGAAAAGGGTCGCAAATTGCTTAAATAACAAATTATACAAATTGTTTACATGAAAAATCTTCATCTTTATATTTCAATCGATAAGTCTGACATTTATAAATGTTTCAAGTGCCTCTTCTCCATTTTTTTTGGTTTTCTCTTCTCAAATTTTATGGAATGGAGCTTTTGGTGCACTAGAAAGTGAGCACAAAGTGCACCACACGAAATCCCCATTCCATCAGCTTTCTCTTTCATTGCATGTCTTCTAAAAGTACTTGTAATCTGTAATCGGTAATCGGCTGGATGCAATCGGTTGGATACTGTACAGGGTGCGTCATAATTATTGCAACAAGAGTTCAAAGACCGTTTTCCAAAGAGCTTTCTTATTTTTTTTGCCCCCCTTTTTTGTTGTGTTGCGTTCTATCTTCTTTATTCTTGCCTAATTGCCTCCTGCTCACACGAAGAAGAGGGTTCAGGACTGGTGTGTGGCCAACTTTCCCTCAGTTGGAGGCCATTCATCCTCACCAAGGATGAATGGCCTCCAAACTCACCGGAACCATATGGACTTTTCCATTTGGGCAATCTTAGAGGCTAATGTCTGCTCTCGAAAACACACAAGTTTGGATTCTTTGAAGAAGTCTTTGACCTTGAAGAAGTCTTTGACCTTGAAGAAGTCTTTGACCTTGAAGAAGTCTTTGACCTTGAAGAAGTCTTTGACCTTGAAGAGTCTTTGACCTTGAAGAAGTCTTTGACCTTGAAGAAGTCTTTGACCTTGAAGAAGTCTTTGACCAAAGGATGGAAGGCGACTCCTCAAGATGACATTCGGGCCGTAGTGGAGGCATATCCCAACGCAGTGGAGGCATATCCGAACCGATTAAGGGCTTTTATCAAGGCAAAAGGCGGTCATATCGAATGATCTCTTGTTTCCTTATTTGTTACTGTTAAATAAAGCTATTTCTGTTTAAAAAAATTTTCTTCCAGTGAAACTTCTTGGTGTGCAATGCCTTGAGCATCTTGTTGCAATAATTATGACGCACCCTGTAGACTGAGGCAACCTTTAGAAAAAGAACTAATCTCGTCTTTTTTAGGGTTCGGCAAGCATGAAATCCGCTCCACAACGCAAGCCAATGGATTGGTGAGTTCAAAGCGTTCAAAATTTGCATAAAGATGCATAAAGACAATTAATAAAGCATTACTATAAGCATAAAGCATAAAGCATTACTGTATCTAGTTTTCTAGCTAATATCTAACTCTATCTCTATTAAATATCTAATATCTAATATCTAATATCTAATATCTAATATCTAATATCTAAACATATCTAATTTCACTTTTTTATATAATTTTTACATTTTAGGAACCCCAAAGTCAAGTAGGAACAATGCCGTTCGTCGTTTTGCACAAAGTGCTCCGGAAATTACCATATCAAGAGGTGAAATTTGTATTTAGATGGCTTTAGATGACTTTTAAATAGTTTTTATCTGGTTTTAGATAGTTTTTGATGGTTTTTAGATGGTTTTAGATGGTTTTAGATGGCTTTTAAATGGTTTTAGATGGTTTTAGATGGTTTTAGATGGTTTTAAAGGGTTTTAAAGGGTTTTAAATGGTTTTAAATGGTTTTAGATAGTTTTAGATGGCTTTTAAATGGTTTTAGGTGGTTTTAGATGGTTTTAGATGGTTTTAAAGGGTTTTAAAGGGTTTTAAATGGTTTTAAATGGTTTTAAATGGCTTTTAAATAGTTTTTATCTGGTTTTAGATAGTTTTAGATGGTTTTTAGATGGTTTTAGATGGCTTTTAAATGGTTTTAGATGGTTTTAGATGGTTTTAGATGGTTTTAGATGGTTTTGGATGGTTTTAGATGGTTTTAGATGGTTTTTAGATGGTTTTAGATGGCTTTTAAATGGTTTTAGATGGTTTTAGATGGTTTTAAATGGTTTTAGATGGCTTTTAAATGGTTTTCTAATCTGGTTTTTGCTTAAAGTTAAAGATATTTTGATAATTTTGATCTTTTTCTATAGCTTGCTCGTCTCCGTGCCGTCCATCCGCATTGGGATGAAATTTGCGGGCAAATGCTGAACAGTGGATACTATCAACTGATTGAGAAGTGAGTTTGAAGTAATTTGAAGTAGTCTCGTGTTGGTAGAATGTAGGTACTGTAGCCATTGTTGTGGGTACTTTAGCCATTGTCGTAGGTACTGTAGCCATTGTCGTAGGTACTGTAGCCATACTGTAACCGTTCTACGGACTGTAGGATTACTCTAGCTTCTCTGGAGGTAATTTTGTCCAAATTGGATTTTTGAATGCTTTTGTGTCCAGGGCAAAATTTCAGTTTTGTGGAGATCGAGATAGTTAATAAAAATAGATCATAAGCCTGCGCCAATAATTATGGGCCACCAATTATCGACCACCCTGTACAGTTGATCGCAAACATTTCCAGATCCGATAAGCTGTTGATGCGCTTGCAGCGACTCGTTCAAAAAGACTCGGGAATGTACTATCCGACGAGTGTCTTGACGAACATTCAGGTGCTATAACAACAAAAATGATCTTTATCTGGTAAACTTCGTTTCTGATAAGCTTCGTTTCCAGGTTCACATCCTCAATCAAGTGGATGCGATGCGAGCCGCTTTAGACGAGGGTGTTGGTTGTTTCCCGTATGGAATCCTTTTGGATAAAACTTTCCAATTGGTGAAACAAGTTGAAGAGATGACAAATGGAGGGAAACAGGTCATTTTTTAGATCTAGAATTTCGATATTTATTATATATGTCGTAGCCGTTTACGAAATTCAGCCGTTAACGAATCTAGCCGCATTTGGGATTGTAATCTACCCGATTACGATATATTACGGTACCGTAACCCGGGTTTAGACATATTCGTTCCTAGGTGTAAACGGATGTGGACTAGAATTTGGGTTAAGTTAAAAAGAGTGGATCCCTTTTTGATACCCCGCCATCTCTAACACACCGACAACCCAACTCAACTCCTCCAACGTATTAGAGGGGAGTCCCTGTGAAATGACCGGCCTGTACTGCAGTTGCATAGACCCGGAAGATACGTATCTTTATTTACAGCAATACAATAAGATGAATAGATTAGAAATGAGTGCAAGGGGAAGGGGGGACTCCAAAATGAGAGTCTCACTTCTCCTCCTAGGCAATCCTAAGGACCGCCCCTTCTCGGCAATAAAAGGGATAAGCACAGGGGGAGAACACATTTGCATAAGAATAGACAAATCATTCAATAATAACAATAGTAACTAAAATATCAGTTTGGCTCGGAGCTGACAGACATCAGTGACTTTAGAGAACTTTAGGTGGAATTTTTAGAGATTACGGTAGTCAAAAAAGCTTCATAGAGGGTCAAGAAATTAATAGAAAGAGCCCATTTCCTCATTCAGTTAAATTCTTCAATTTTGCACAACTTTACAGTTTACTCTCATTTCAGATCGATGTCCCATGGGAACCGGTGGCAATTCTCGCGAAGAGAGCCTCAATGCATTACAAGGATAACTTAGAAAGGTATTAAGATACTTACTAATTGTAAGAAATCTTTAAATGTCAAGCTACGGTACTCAGTTTACTTTAAAGATACTGTAAATCTAGCATTCAATGATAGAAAACGGTAGAAAACTGTAGAAAACGGTAGAAAACTATTCTAAAGTTACCAAAAAAGTATCGCGGCTTTCTATTCAATTATCTAACATCCTAAAATCTATTCTAATCTAATCTAAAATTATCGAACAATCTAAAAACTATTCTAATCCGATTTGGTTTTAATACAGTTCCGATTTGGTTTCGATTTGGTTCTAATACGGTTTCAGTACGGTTCCAATACGGTTTCAATACGGTTTCGATTTGGTTTCAATGAGGTTCCAATACGGTCCCAATTTGGTTCCAATACGGTTTCAATAAGGTTACAATTTGGTCCCACTACGGTCTCAATACGGTTCCAATACGGTTTCAATAAGGTTACGATTTGGTTTCAATACGGTTTCAATAAGGTTACGATTTGGTTTCAATACGGTTTCAATAAGGTTACGATTTGGTTTCAATACGGTTTCAATAAGGTTACGATTTGGTCCCACTACGGTCTCAATACGGTTCCAATACGGTTCCAATACGGTTTCAATACGGTTCTAGTACGGTCTCAATACGGTCACAATTTGGTTTCAATACGGTTTCAATAAGGTTACGATTTGGTCCCACTACGGTCTCAATACGGTTCCAATACGGTTTCAATAAGGTTACGATTTGGTTTCAATACGGTCCCAGTTTGGTTCCAATACGGTTCCGATTTCAATACGGTTCCAATACGGCTCCGATTTAGCTCTAATACGATTTCGATTTGGTTCTAATACGGTTTCAATACGATCCCAATTTGGTTTCAATACGGTTTCAATAAGGTTACGATTTGGTCCCACTACGGTCTCAATACGGTTCCAATACGGTTTCAATACGGTTCTAGTACGGTCTCAATACGGTCCCAATTTGGTTCCAATACGGTTTCAATAAGGTTACGATTTGGTTTCAATACGGTCCCAGTTTGGTTCCAATACGGTTCCGATTTCAATACGGTTCCAATACGGCTCCGATTTAGCTCTAATACGATTTCGATTTGGTTCCAATAAGGTTCCAATACGGTCCCAATTTGGTTTCAATACGGTTTCAATACGGCTCCGATTTGGTTCCAATACGGTCCTAAAACGGTTTCGATTCTATTCTATTCCAATCTAATAGCAAGCAATCAATTTGAAATCTTTTCTAGCATCATGGAGGAGCGTTTGGGTGAAAGCGCTCGTTTGAAAGCCGCTCAAAAGCTGATCCGTTTGGACTCATTCCTCGTTGAGACGAGTGTGCAAAAGATGGAAAAGGAAAATGCTAAGGTTTGGGGGAATAAAAGATGCTGATAAGATTGATGTCGATAAGCTGAATATCTTATAGAAAACAATAGAAGAATCTAAAGGATATTCAGCTTATTCTATAAGATATCAGCTTTTCTTATATTTAGAAGATATTCAGCTTAAAACGCTTATTCCGCTTAAAACTTTATCTTTCCAGAATCGCGATGACGTCATGTGGGAAGTGGAACAGCTGCAACAATGCAATGAAAAGGTTCGTAAAGGGATGAGCTCAAAAATAAAGACATTCGAAGACAAAGACAGGTTTACGGTAGCTAAAATGTACTCTAAACTACCGTAATCCAAATGAGACTGATTGGGATTGATTTTAGTGTTTTTTAGCCATCAACTAATCAACTAATGCCTAAAAAGCAATATTTGGATTACGATAGCTTCTGGATTATGATAGCTAAAAGTCACAGAGAAACCGTAATCCAGTTAATGGAGAAATTGTGCTTAAAACTATCGTAACCCTATCAAAAGCTAGAAAATACCAAAGTTACCGTAATGGAGATTAAACCTGTAACAAAAACATCTATCAGTCCTTTTTACCGGGGAATTTAAGGTTTTCCGTGTTTTTCTCAGCACTAACCCTTCTATTTTGTTTATTTTGACTATCATTTGATAGAGAATGAAATTGCGCATCGAATGATACCAAAATCAACTCAAAAAAACAATATCCATGCAAAGTTATGAGGCAAAATGGTTAGCCTGTCCACAATGGACGAGGTTTAGGTTTTTACCTCATAACTTTACATGGATATTGTATTTTGAGTTCATTTTGGTATCATTCGATGCGCAATTTGTTTCTGCATCGAATGATAGTTAAAATAGACAAAATAGAAGGATTGACGCTGAGAAAAAGACGAAAAACCTTAAATTGCCTGTAAAAAGGACTGATAGATGTTTTTGTTACAAGTCTAGTATATCGTGCAATCGTGCAAATTCAGGAAATCGTGGAAAGACCCTGGAAAGACCAGGAAAGACCAGGAAAGACCCTGGATAGGCTACAATTGAAGCCAAGAATATTCAAGTTCTAGAAAGATCTCTAGAAAGATCTCTAGAAAGAAATAAACTCGTGACGAAGCTGAAACGTCGCTCAAAAGCTACCGTACCCCAAAAAGCTAATTGTAACTGTAACCGAAAGGCTAAATGATGCTCAAAACTACTGTAATCAAATCATTAAAAATTCGATTTGATTACGGGAGCTTTTGTTGCATTGCTTTTTTGTTGTTTTAGCATTCACCCAAAGCTCCCGTACTTCCAAAAATTCATTAAAATTCACCTCATTTCCAGCTTCGCAAAGACAATCGTGAGCTCAAGCAAAACCAAATGAAACTGGAGGCAAGGATTGACATTCTCGAGCAAAAATTCAAAACAATGGCTCGACTTTTTTCTTAAATTTTCTTTGCTTTTTTGATTGCTAACTTTAAAATAAAAGCTTTCTGACCGCTTTTTCTTTGAAATTTTTGATTTTATCGAACTTTTCTCAGTTGAAACTTGAAATTCGCTCAATTTCCGAAACTTTTTCAGAAACCTTGTCGGGGGTGGGACAAATGCGACCTTTTTTTTGCGCACCCGGACATTTGCGCACCTTTTTTTTGCTGGAAAAGGCCTTAGGAAAGGTCGTAGAGCTTCAAAAACGTTTTCATAGAAGGGAATCGTATGCGTAGATTCAGAATTTTGACAAATCAGACCTCGCTGACACGTCAAATTTGGGCTAAAAGGCAAAAACTGCGGAAAAGCGTTAAGTTGCGTAGTTTTTGCCTTTTAGCCCAAATTTGACGTGTCAGCGAGGTCTGATTTGTCGAAATTCGGAATCTACGCATACGATTGCCTTCTATAGGAAAATTTTTGAAGCTCTACGGCCTTTTTCAACAAAAAAGGGGCGCGTTTGGCCGGGCGCGCCAAAAAAAAGGTAGCATTTGTCTCGCCTCTATTTTCGAGGCTCTACGACTTTTCCTAAGGCCTTTTCCAGCAAAAAAAAGGTGCGCAAATGTCCAGGTGCGCAAAAAAAAAGGTCGCATTTGTCCCATCCCCGTTGAAACTTGAAATTCGCTCAATTTCAGAAGCTTTTTCAGAAAAATTTCATTTTCAACTCGTTTCTTTGCTATTTTTCCTGTTCGTTTACAGCTAATTTCCTTTTTTTCCGTTTTTTCCGTTTTTTTTCTTATTTCCCGATTCACCGAGCTTTGTATTTATGATTTATTTCTTAAAAAATGCTTTCAAATTTTCTTTTTTCTAATTTTCTTTTTTCTAATTTTCTTTTTCTAATTTTCTTTTTCTAATTTTCTTTCTAATTTTCTTTCTAATCTTACTTATTTTTGTCAATTTTTTATTTATTTTTAAGATTTTTTTTCTGTAGAAATCGCTAGTTTTAAGCTCATTTTCAGAGTTTTTTTTTCATTTTTATTCATTTTAATTTTATTCAATTCATTTATAAATAAATTTCAGAAAAAAATTTTATTTAAAGAAAGACGAAAAAAGTTTTTTCTTAAAGCAATAGAAAGCTGACAACTAAATAGAGAACGATGAGAAAAAGGCGAAAATTTACATGTATATATAAATAATTTACTCAGAAATCAGAAAGAAGATCGAGCCGTGATCCAAATGGTGAAAAACGATCCGAACAAAACATCAACCGATTGAAATCAAATGATGAGGGATCAATTTAACAAGGTTGTATCGCCGGAAACGATCAGACGACGATTAAATCAAGCTGGATTATATGCAAGAAGGGCTGGCCGCAAGCCTCTGATGAATTCTAAGCACCGGAAGCAGCGCCTTGATTTTGCACGGACCTACCGAAGTTGGACAATAAGTGATTGGGCGAAAGTGCTATTTACCGATGGGACAAAAAACAATTTATTTCATGCGGATGGAAACCATCTTATTCGGCGGGCCGACTGGAAAGCGATACACACTCAAGTACATTCGGCCTACGGTGAAATTCAATGGAGGCTACATAATGTGTAAGGGCCTTTTTAGTATTTTGTCACCTGGCTGTTTTTCTTTAGGAGCGATGTCACGAACTTCAGTAGGCCCATTAGTTCACGTCAACCCAACGATGAATGCTGTGGCTTACAAGGACATTATGGAGACCCAAATGCTGCCTTTTGCCACACAGACGATGCCTCCTGGATGGATGCTCTACCAGGACAACGACCCGAAACACAGGTAAAGGCTCATGATGGGAACGGTGGTGACTCTTCAAAATGGTACATGAGCACGACTTCCGGGCTGGTTTGCGGCAAGTCGAGTCAAATTGATCAATCCGCCTCCCTACTCACCCGATATCAATGTTATCGAGCATCTCTGGTCATTTGTGAAGTCACGACTCAAGGGAAAGAAATTCGATTCGAAGGCTGCCTTATGGGTTCACATTCAACGTCTCTGGGCCACCATCCCCCAAAGTCTTTTGAAGAATCTCGTGGATCCCATGCCGAATCGACTCAATGAAGTAATAAAAGCAAAAGGAGGACCAACCAAGTATTGATTTAAAAAAATTGTGTTAATTCTTTGCAAATGGGGCATTACTTTTGTGGAGCTAATTTTCAAGTAGCTTATTGTTTTTGTTTTATACTTTAATTTGTATGTAATGTATACGGATAAATTTTATATTCTTGAAAAGTCGAGTCTTATGGGTCGGTAAAAATGCCCTACTCTTTTTCTGAAATGTCGTTTTTGCAAGATTTCCTTACAAAACATACTGTTGGATGGCAATGGGCATTACTTTTGTGGATCACTGTATTATATTTGGAATATAATTGAAACTTTTTTTCATATAAATTGTGTTGTTTTTTAGAACGTCTGGAAAATCCCCACATCGAAAATCGATCATCGAATTGCACAAGCGAGCGCCGGAGATTCATAAGCGTCTTAGAGTCGACAGGAGTGTCATTTTCTGCACGATTCAACGCTACGAAGCTACGGGAATTGTTGATGCACCAAGAAGCGGTAGACGCCCAACTGTCGTTACAAAGAAAAACATCAAACGAATCAGGGATCGAATTCAGAAGAAGCCAAACCAGGCAAATGGCAAAGAATATAACAAAGAAGATGGTGCATCTCATTTCAAGCATCTCATTGCGTCGGATCCTCAAAAATAAGCTCAAACTTACTGCTTACAAGAAAAACAAGGCTCAACTTCTTTCGAATGCAAAAACAAGCAAAAATTGAGAGCAGATCAGTTGCGCTTCAATTGATTGATTGATGTTCTTCAATGGAATCGACCATCACAACATCTGTTCACAAATGAAAAGAAATTTACCGTTGAAGGCCTTCTTAACAAGAAAAATGATCGAGTATGGGTATCTCAACCGAATGCCCACAAAAAACATCAAAAGCTTGAAGAAATCACTGTTGAAGAGCTGTTGAAGAGCTGGGAAGAGCTCGAACCAACCGATTTGATCGCCACCGTTGACGCCTTCCCGAAACGCCTGCGAGTATGCTAATGTTAAACAAATCCTTAACATTTTCTTCAGTTTTGGCCCGTTTACTTATTTCTTCAAGTTGAATCATTTGTTTTGATGAAAAGTTCTTCAATTTCTTTTTCCAGGTATGGAGGCGACTTCTACACATGTATCCTGGCGTTACAAATACATCTTGGCGTTACAAATGCACCGTTTGCCACCTCGGCAACCTCGACACTCATCATTTGAAGGAACACATCGCCGTGATTTATTTGGGTGGGTTTTTGAAGATTTTCTTAAAAGTTTTGCTTTAAAATTATCTATTTAAGATGTTTCTAGTATTTCCATTAATGTAAATGACAAAAAGAATCGAAACAAAAGGCAATAAACGTTTTATTTCGTTAACTTTAGTCCTTGTCCGTCAAAGATTGCTAAAAGACTGAGTTTTAAAATTTAGAGATGGTGAAGAGATGGAAATTTAAAAAACGAGATGGAACCGGTGCTCGCAACGTTTTCTTGAAGCCTTCACCAGCGACGTGATGATCCATCACCGAACAGAATGCACTGGAACAGTTGAGTGTTTAAAGCATCTATTAGTCAAGTTAACGGACATTAAACCTTGAAATTTAGTACATCGAGTTGCCGACTTTGAAGGCACTTTGAAGACCTGGCTTGAAGGCACACGACGAACTTCAGCGGCTCTGCGATAAGGCAATTCAACGCGAGATGAATCGTCAGTTTTTGAATGGGTTGATTAAAAGTTAACTCAAGCCAGAGCTTAAATCTTGCAAGTTGGCTTTCACTGTGGCAAGGCATTCTTTTTTCGATAAAACCCGCTCTAGCTCCGATAAAATCCGCTCTAGCTCTAGGAGTTTGAGCTTTATTTAAAAACAAGAAAATTTAAATTTCAAATGAATGAATGGTCCCATTACAGTTTATTTTTAGGTAATATGGAGGCATTGCGCTACTTCGGCTCTCATCCTACGGTTGCTTTCCAATTCAATAAAGTAACATCCAACACAAAGTATTGACCAGCAAACGTCATCACAAGCGCTAGATGTTACATCTAAATCAGCTGTCTCCACAAGCGGCATCAGCAACAATCACAGCAACAGCTTCCACAACAATACCGCGGACAACAGCTTGAAGACACCGAATTTGTGTGTTTTGTCGCTCAACAAGGATAACTCGAATAGCTTATCGGTAAGGAGTTTTTGAGTTTATTGGTGAGAAGTTTTTGAGCTTATTTCAATTTATAATTAGCCTTTTTAGTTTGCTTCACTAAATACCTCAGCACTAGAGCCTGGAGAAGTCGTCACGATGAAGTCGAAAGATCCGCAAGGTAGAGATGCGTTTCATTTGAATGTGAATTGATTTAAGATTGATGGATACATTTTGATGAGAGAAGACGTGAAAGAAGCGATTCGCGAAGTCTAAGAAGCGATTCGAGAGATCAAAGAAACGATGCACAGGATCGACGATCGAGCTTTCAAAAGAGGTGCGATGAATTGCATTGATCAAAAGATGAATTGCATTGATGCATTGATGAATGCTTTGTAATTGCAAAAAGATCAATCAGTATTCTGATGAACAAACAAACAAACTGATGAACTTTTTCATTTACAGAACAAACTTTTTCATTTAGCTATCATCATAATCGTTCATTTGATTGCGGACCAAGTCATGGAAGATCGCCGTATCGACACCATGGCTCATCACGCAGATCAAGTCGATAACCGAGTCGCCTCTCACACTCGTTCCAATCGATTCGTCGTTGTTCTCCTCCACGCATGAAAGTCCGAGAGGTAAGAGCTTTTAAGCTAAACCTACACTGCTTTGTTTCACCTTCACTGCTTTGTTTCAGGAAGGAAGCCTTCATGCCGAAAGATGAGGCGACTATTCGGAAAGAAAACACCCTCCTTACCAAACCGATGTTCAATTAAAAAGAGAAAATTGAGCAAGAGGTTTTGACAAAAGGTAAATGCAACTGGACGGACTATACTGTATTGCTTTTTAGAAACAAAGAAAGGGGGATGAAACGCACAATTTCACGAGAAGTCCACTCTATAATAAATCTTGCCTTCAATGAATCGTCGATGTTTGAAGATGGGGAGACGATGAATGTTGAAGATGGTGGAGACGATGGATGTTGAAGATGGTGGAGCGTGATGTTGGTAGATCTTTTCCGGCAAAGAATCGTTTGCAATCGTTTGCAAAGGCATGGTTCACCTAATGGCTTTGATCGTTGGAAAAAATGGTGAGTTTGTGTTGGAAGATTATAAGTAGGAAATCTGTTTAACGAACGACCAAAGTTGAGGGGGGGGCAGTCTGGAACTTGACCCAAAATCAATATTTTTTCACGAAAACTTGCACACAGGGGTTTTTGACTATGCTGAATCGATTAGTAATCTTTTTATAACTTTTCTTTATTAATTTGATTAATTATAATAATAATTTGATAATAACAATTCTAGTAAAAACTCGAATACGGGCAGTTTGCTGAAAAACAGGTTCCCTAACCTGTCAGGAGTTCTTTTATACGCAACACCAAGCAACAATTTTGTTATTGTTGTTTTTTGTTATTTCATTTGGTTAAAATAGAACTTAAAATTGATTAAAAAGTTATAAAAGTAGGTTTGGACTTGTTTTTCGGCAAACTTCCCGTATTCGAGCTTTCACTAAAAATGTTATTAATTGTTATTAATTAAATTAATAAAGAAAAGTTATAAAAGTATTACTAATCGATTCAGCATAGTCGAAAACCCCTTCGTGTAAGTTTTTGTGGAAAAATATTGATTTTGGGTCAAGTTCCAGACTGCCCCCCTCTCCCCAACTTTGTTCGTTCGTTCAATTCGTTTAGTGATCTTTTTCGAGCAATGTAAATCAGGGTTTCTCGGAATGTCAACGCCATCAACAAGGCAGCGGTTTGGATTTGATGGCTATCCAATTGGATTCGGCGGAAATTATCGTTATCGAAATTATCGGCGGGTATTGTTTAATTTGAGTTAAGTTGTGCTTTAAATTTCAGCCTCCTCCAATGCAACCGTCATCACTACCGCCACAATGGATGGCAGATGCCAGCAGAAGACTTTTCTTTAGTCAAATTTGATGAGGATTCTTTTAAAACCAACCGCAAGTCGATCCGATCACTGGAAGTCGAGATATAGACATATTTAACGACATGTTGAAACTCCAATGGAATGCACAATGATTAGTGTGAATTCGCTAACTGGCTAAATTGCTAAATGTTTGCTAAATTTTGTATACTCAAGTGTAAGAACATAGAGAAAATTTGTATCAAAGTTGAAATATCTACCTGAAAGCGTCGATCAACTTTGATGGTCTATAACTCAAGGTATAGAAGTTGAATCAACTTGTGTTTGGTTTTAATAGAATCATCATTAAATTTGGTTATAGAAAAGTAGAAGTTGTTTTGTATACTCTTTAATAAAAACATCGAGAAAAACTGTCTTGAAGATTAGTGCGCTAAAGAGCCGTTTTTCTATAGTCAAAATGGCACTTTAGCGCACTTTTCTATTTTACTCTATAACTCGACTTTCAGCAAACAGATCGACTTATAGTTGATTTTAAAAGAATCCTCATCAAATTTGACTATAGAAAAGTGCAATTTGTTTGGTACACTAACTTGTAAGAATATATAGAAAAATTGTGCCAAAGTTGAACTACTTAGCTGCAGAAGTCGATCAACTTTGACGGTTTATATCTCGACGTACAAGCATTGGATCGACTTACGGTTGGATTCATTAGAATTCTCATTAAATTTGGCTAGAGAAAAGTGCTATTTATTTTGTATACTCCTCTGTAAGAACGTAGAGAAAAACGGCTTTGAAAACTAGTGCGCTAAAGTGCCGTTTTTCTATAGTGAAAATGGCACTTTAGCGCACTTTTCTATTTTACTCTATAACTCGACTTCAAATTATCAGATCGACTTCAGGTTGGTTTTAAAATGATCCTCATTAAATTTGGTTATAAAAAAGTAGAATTTATTTTGTATACTGATGCATAAGAACATAGAGAAACTTTGTGTCAAAGTTGACTGATTTGCCTGCAACTTTTGGAACGATATTGGAACGATATTGGATCAAAAAAGAACCGTATTGAAACCATATTGGAACCGTATCCGAACCATATTGAAACCATATTGGAACCATTTTGGAACCAGATTGGAACCAGATTGGAACCATATTGGAACCATATTGGAACCATATTGGAACCGTATCCGAACCATATTGAAACCATATTGAAACCATATTGAAACCATATTGAAACCATATTGGAACCATATTGGAACCATATTGAAACCATATTGAAACCATATTGGAACCGTATCCGAACCATATTGGAACCATATTGAAACCATATTGAAACCATATTGGAACCGTATCCGAACCATATTGGAACCATATTGGAACCATATTGGAACCGTATCCGAACCATATTGAAACCATATTGAAACCATATTGGAACCATATTGGAACCGTATTGGAACCGTATTGAAACCATATTGAAACCATATTGGAACCATATTGGAACCATATTGAAACCATATTGGAACCATATTGGAACCATATTGGAACCGTATTGGAACCGTATTGAAACCATATTGAAACCATATTGAAACCATATTGGAACCATATTGGAACCATATTGGAACCGTATTGGAACCGTATTGAAACCATATTGAAACCATATTGGAACCATATTGGAACCATATTGGAACCGTATCCGAACCATATTGAAACCATATTGGAACCATATTGGAGCCGTATCTGAACCATATTGGAGCCGTATCTGAACCATATTGGAGCCGTATCCGAACCATATTGAAACCATATTGGAACCATATTGGAACCATATTGGAACCATCAACTTTCACGGTCTATAACTCGAGTTGCAGACATATTTAACGACATGTTGAAACTTCAATGGAATGCACAATGATTAGTGTGAATTGGCTAACGCTAACAAGAATCTTGCCAGTTAGGGAATTCTTTGCAAATGCCCGTTTGTCTATGATGTGGTTGATTTGAAATAGACTTTGACGATGAAATAGACTTTGACGATTTTTTCCTTTTATAAATAAATTTCAGAGAAAATTTTATTCAAAGAAACATCACAAAAGTTTTTTTCTTCAAGGCAATAAAAAACTGAGCAAAGTTTTAAAGCTTAAAAGATTATTTTTACAAAAATTCTGTAAATTTTTGAGATTTTTGGGACAAATTTGACAACTGAAAGCAGAAAAAAATTGAAGGAAATACTGGCAAAAGCATTTTTTTTTTCTTTGAAAGCAGATGCAATGAGTAAAGCTAAATGGTGAATAAATTACCGTAACCGGAACCGCAAAAGGGGGGAAAAAGGGACTAAAAGCTGTAGAAATGACTAGAGAACGATTGAAAAGGCGAAAAGGCGAAAATTTACATGCAGAACGAGGCTTACGGCAGCTAAAATGCTTATAGACTACCGTAATCCAATGACATTAAAAAACGCTTAAAAAACGCTTAACTATCCAGTTTAAATGATGCTAGTGGCTAAAAGACACCGAAAAACTATCGTAATCGATGAAATTACACCTCAAAAGGTATTTTTGGGTGTCTTACAGTAGTTTTTGGTGTCTTACGGTAGTTTTGGATGTCTTACGGTAGTTTTGGGTGTCTTACGGTAGTTTTGGACGTCTTTTTGCCAATTACGGTTGTTTTGGATGTCTTACGATGGTTTTGGGTGTCTTACGGTAGTTTTGGGTGTCTTACAGTAGTTTTGGATGTCTTACGGTAGTTTTGTGCGTCTTACGGTAGTTTTGGGCGTCTTACGGTAGTTTTGGGCGTCTTTTTACCAATTACGGTTGTTTTTGGTGTCTTTTTTGCCAATTACGACTGGTTTGGGGATCTTTTTGCTAACACTAATCGGATTACAGTAATCTAAAGCTACCGTAATCCAAAACTGGCTAAATAGGACTCAGAAACTACCGTATTCTATCGAAAAAAGACGAATAAAGAAGAATAAAGACGAATGAAGACGAATAAAGACGAATAAAGACGTTTTAAGGGGTTACTGTAGCTGTAAAGCACCTAAAGCTGTCGTAAGCGTTACCGTAATGAAGAAATGAATGGGTGAAGAAAGGCACTAAATAGGGACTAAAATAGGGACTAAATAGGCACTAAAATAGGGACTAAATAGGCACTAAATAGACACTAAATAGGCACTAAAAAGGCACAAAGTAGGGACTAAAAGTACAGTAATTCAAATAAAATGGCAAAAGAAAGTTTAAAGGCACAGAAATCTTGCTAAAAGGCACTCTAATTACAGGAATTTGATCAAATCGAACTCTACAAAAGCGCTAAAAAGTTTATCCGTTTACCGTTTTCTATCTTGAAAAACACTCGTGACTTTGTGTTGACCAAATGGGGTAAATTTGAGAAGAATTCGGCGATAATGGAAAAGGAAAAGGCAAATGATGATAAACGACATGATGAACGACATTTGGAGGAGATGGTCGAGTGGAAGAGTACTGTAACTGTTGGGGAAACGGTAGCGAGATCCACGTTTCCCAATCCAACGTTATCGGCACCTCGACGATGCGCCTCGTTTGCACCCCCGTGTCACAAGAGAGCGGAAATGCGAAAGGTGGCGAAGAATTTGAAATCTCCTTTAATTTGGTATAATTTTTGATAGAATTAGAATGAGAATCTATTAGAATGACCCTTTTGGACGGTTAGAAAGAAATAACAAGAGAAAGGCAATTGGCTGAACTTGCGATCGACTGGCTAAGCCAAATCCTATCCAACTTTTGATTTCGCTTGGATACCTGTAGCTAGATTTGTTATATTGGGTTGTCCAGTTATGAAGTCCAGTCCAGTCCGTTTTTTACTATTTTGTAAATTTCTCAAGATACCGAAATCAAGAAAAAGATCTATATGAGTATTATTCAAAAGCTGAAGATCTCCTCTACATTTTGATATAAAAAGTTTTTGAATTTGTTCAGCTTTTTTGAGACTCACAATCTCCTTAGCAACTTTAGAATAAAAACATAAAGAAAATCTCGGTCAAAGTTGGACTAAATTTCTGTAAGCGGGAATCTGGGTTTACGGTCAAGATATGGTAAAAAGCCTAAGCAAACTCTAGGTTTTAAGTTCAAATTTGGATTCTACACAAGATTTGGACCTAGAAAAAGTACTTTATAAGATATTGAGTAAAGGTTTTCTTCCCTTTTAAGATGATCTTCATACACTGTACTAGGATCATATAAAATGCCTTTTTTTTTATGATCCTAGTACAGTGTATGAGGATCATATTGAGTCCTCTCTTTTTCCACCATATCTTCACTTTCAGTTAACCGATCAACTTGTGGTTGTTCTTAAAATGTTCCTTATAAAATTTCCTACTAGAAACTCACAATCTCCTTGGCAACTTTAGAATAAAAACATAAAGAAAATCTCGGTCAAAGTTGGACTAAATTTCTACAAGGTTTACCGTCAGGATACGGTAAAAAGCCTAAGCAAACTCTAGGTTTTAAGTGCAAATTCGGATTCTACATAAGATTTGGACCTAGAAAAAGTACTTTATAAGATATTGAGTAAAGGTTTTCTTCTGAATTGACTGTACAGAAGAAGAGGTGGCCAAAAAATGGAAGGGTGCCTTTGGATCAAGTTTTGGCTTCGCTCAAATTGAGTTAACCGTTTGATATTTGACCAATAGATATATTAATACAACTTTTTTAAAATATAACAATTTCAGGGCATCTTTACTTTACTTTTCTTTTCTTTTCTAGGCGGTTATTTTACACCATAAAACTTGAAGAATAGCTAAGCTGAAATGGGTTTTTTCGAAAACGACCTCTCCCTTTGTGCAGTCAATTTCCCAAAAAGTTGAATGAATTCAAAAACTTGTTTATTCCAAAATGTAGAGGAGATCTTGGTTCTTTCTCAATATCGGGGGAGCGGTCCGATTATCGGGGGAGCAAATTTTGGCAGCGCTACATATGTCCTATTTAAAATTGTGACGAACGGGAGCTTTAAAATTGTGACGAACGGGAACGGGCAAAAAGTTATCGACTCGAATTCCTCTTGAATGCTTGGGAACCTTTCGCCGTGCGCAAGTGTCACATACCCAGCGAAATAGATCTTTTCCCTTTGAGCGGACTTTCATCGATTCGCCACATTTGCAAATCCACGACTGGATGACTCCTTTGGTGACGAAATAAACGATTGCCGTCGATTTCTTGACGCACAAATATCGGAGAAGCGCATCGTCGCTTCCTTTCGCTCCCCCGATAATCTTTCCGCTCCCCCGATATTGGAAAAGTACCGAGATCTTCAGCTTTCGAATGATATATCACACTCATATACATCCGTTCGATATCTTGAGAAATTTACAAAATGGTAAAAACGCGCATTCATAACTGGACAACTCAATAGGAACTGAACCCTGAACCTGGGTTGGATCTGGATCTGGATCTGAAGGCTAGGCTCCTGGATCTGATCTAGAACTGAAGATGGGACCTAGACCCAAGCCTGGTTCTGGATCTAGACCCAAGCCTGGTTCTGGATCTAGACCCAAGCCTGGTTCTGGATCTAGACTCAAACCTGGTTCTGGATCTAGACCCAAGCCTGGTTCTGGATCTAGACCCAAGCCTGGTTCTGGATCTAGACCCAAGCCTGGTTCTGGATCTAGACCCAAGCCTGGTTCTGGATCTAGACCCAAGCCTGGTTCTGGATCTAGACCCAAGCCTGGTTCTGGATCTAGACCCAAGCCTGGTTCTGGATCTAGACCCAAGCCTGGTTCTGGATCTAGACCCAAGCCTGGCTCTGGATCTAGACCCAAGCCTGGCTCTGGACTTAGACTCAAGCTTGGCTCTGGACTTAGATTCAAGCCTGGCTCTGGACTTAGACTCAGGCTTGGCTCTGGATCTAGACTCAAGCCTGGCTCTGGACTTAGACTCAAGCTTGGCTCTGGATCTAGACTCAAGCCTGGCTCTGGACTTAGACTCAAGCTTGGCTCTGAATCTAGACTCAAGCCTGGCTCGAGTGCTCTACGATAACACTCATATACATCCGTTCGATATCTTGAGAAATTTACAAAATGGTAAAAACGCGCATTCATAACTGGACAACCCAATAAAATACCTTTTTACAGTACTTTATCTAGATTTGCTTTTAAATGCTCGACTACAGTAATCAAAAGCTGCCATTCTAATAGATAATTGAATTTTTTTGCCACTCCATGCTTTTAGAGAGAAAACTGGATTCTGTTTTTGAATGGAATACCTTTAAAATAGTAGAATACCTTTAAATTTAGAACCATACTGAAACCATATTGGAACCTTATTCTTGGAAGGGACTAATTGGAATCATATTGGAACTTGCTAATATCTTACCTCCAATATATTTTACCGTACTTTTAAAGCCAGTTGGGTTACGGTACCTTTCTTCAAAGGTACCGTAATCGAACTCTTTAGAAAAAGCTCTTTTCAAGGGTTTTCTACTGTTTTCTAGTGATTTCTACTGTTTTCTAGTGATTTCTAGTGTTTTATAGTGATTTCTAGTGTTTTCTAGTGATTTCTAGTGTTTTCTAGTGATTTCTAGTGTTTTCTAGTGATTTCTAGTGATTGCTAATGATTTCTAGTGAATTCAAATGATTTCTAGTGTTTTCTAGTGATTTCTAGTGTTTTCTAGTGTTTTCTAGTGATTTTTAGTGACTTCTAGTGATTGCCTTTTAGAAAACTACCGTAACCGGCTGTTTTGAGCGTAAACGGCTGTTTTGAGCAATCAGAGTACAGTAAATTTGTCTAGAGGCAATCAAAGAACGGTAACTTTGTCTGGAGCACGAAAAACCCTGACTTTAGAGCCTGACTACCGTAAACCCTGACTTTAGACAACAGGAGTACCATTCTTGCCATTCTGCCATTCTTACAACCCTTAAACAGATCATTCCTACAATTTAGGGTTATTAGAAGACGTATGTAAAAGAAAGGGTTATTAGAAGACGTATGTAAAAGAAAGGGTTATTAGAAGACGAAAAATCTCATCAGTGGTGAATGAAACTGCAAAAAAACAAACAAAAAACAAAAACAAACAAAAAAAAGACAAAAAACAGTTATTTTTCAAAATCCCATCCACCACTTACCCCGAAAAATGAAAAGGTGAAAAGCAAAGGGGAATTTTGTGTGCTTAGTTGTGACGAGTTCGCTTAAAGTTGCGTTTGTTTTAAAGCGGAAAACAGAATTGAAAATTGGTGGATTTTGAGGATACTGTAAGGCTGGAATAAGCCTTGTACTTGAGCTAGGCTAGAGTCAGACTAGAGCTAGGCTAGAGCCAGACTAGAGCCAGGCTAGAGTCAGGCTAGAGTCAGACTAGAGCTAGGCTAGAGCCAGGCTAGAGTCAGGCTAGAGTCAGACTAGAGTCAGACTAGAGCCAGACTAGAGTCAGGCTAGAGTCAGACTAGAGCCAGGCTAGAGTCAGGCTAGAGCCAGACTAGAGTCAGACTAGAGCCAGGCTAGAGTCAGGCTAGAGTCAGACTAGAGCTAGGCTAGAGCCAGGCTAGAGTCAGGCTAGAGTCAGACTAGAGCCAGGCTAGAGTCAGGCTAGAGTCAGACTAGAGCCAGACTAGAGTCAGGCTAGAGCCAGACCAGAGTCAGGCTAGAGTCAGGCTAGAGTCAGGCTAGAGTCAGGCTAGAGCCAGACTAGATCCAGACTAGAGTCAGGCTAGAGCCAAGCTAGAGCCAGACTAGAGCTTGGATTAAAATCAGGCTCAAAGCCAGGATCAAGCCAAGAACCCTGTCCTAATTGTGGCCTAGATCACTCAGAATTAAACTGATTTAAGCCACAATTAGGCCAACGCCAGGTTAGAGTCAGGGCTAGCTAATCCCTATCAAGATTAGACCGAGATTCAAGCTCAAGCCTGACCCTGATCCCAGTACTTGACTCCAGTATTAGGGCAGCCATTCCTCTAGAATTAGGCCAGGCCAGCCATTCTTCTAGAATTAGGCCAGCCATTCTTCTAGAATCAGGACTAGGCTAGGCCCAGACCAGTCATTGGCTACGCCTTACAATCCTCAAGATCCACCTATAACCAATCAAAACCAATCTAAACCAATCAAAACCAATCTAAATCAATCTAATATCTAAATAAATCTCTAAACAAACCGATTTTATCGTCAGCGTTGTTTTCGGTGTTGCCTCACTCTTCGCCAAAGCCGGATTCTCAGTTTTCTCTTTCGAATCTTGTCTCTTGTTCATGAAAAATGGTCTAGGCGTCGGTTTGAGTACTCCATCTGATTTGATCGACGTTGACGTGGAGACAGTTGGCTTTGTTGAGGTGTCTTTTGGCTAAATGGGTGCAGAATAGGAAACGAAAGCAATGGGTGAAGCTGAGAGTACTTAAAAGATAGGTGTGCGAATTGGGAAGGAAAAGAAAGATTCTAGAAATGTAGAAGAATCTAGAAAGATTCTAGAAGAATGGTTGACCTAGCACTGGAACCAAGTAGACCTAGAACCACGTCGCCTAGTACTAGAACTATTACTCTGGATATGTCCAAGTACTGAGGCCCTAGAGTGCTCTAAACCCTAGAGTGCCCTAGACTCTAGAGTATCCCGACTCTTGAGTACCCGGGATCCTAGAGTATCCCGACCCTAGAGTGCCCAGGGTACCCTAGAGTGCCCAGGGTACCCTAGAGTGCCCAGGGTACCCTAGAGTGCCCAGGGTACCCTAGAGTGCCCAGGGTACCCTAGAGTGCCCAGGGTACCCTAGAGTGCCCAGGGTACCCTAGGTGCCCAGGGTACCCTAGAGTGCCCAGGGTACCCTAGAGTGCCCAGGGTACCCTAGAGTGCCCAGGGTACCCTAGAGTGTCCAGGGTACCCTAGAGTCCCCAGGGCACGCCAAAGTACCCTGAGGGCCTAGAATATCTAGTACTCCAACACTAAGCTCTAGTACTGGTATCTAGAGTTCCTTGAAGTACCCTAATATATCCTGTAGCTAGTCTAGGTAACCTGTGTACTAGCTAACAAACTCTAGCTTACTCTAGCTAACAAAACCCATGAAGTACCTTGAAATCTGCTGGGTACTTTACCCTGGAAGACCTTGAGCATTTTACCCTGGGAATCCTGGGAATCCTGGGTATCCTGGGAATCCTGGGAATCCTGGGAATCTGGGAATCCTGAGAATCCTGGGAATCCTGGGAATCCTGGGAATCCTGGGTATCCTGAGAATCCTGGGAATCCTGGGTATCCTGGGAATCCTGGGAATCCTGGGTATCCTGAGAATCCTGGGAATCCTGGGTATCCTGAGAATCCTGGGAATCCTGGGAATCCTGGGAATCTGGGAATCCTGGATCTCATGGGAATCCTGGATCTCATGAGGATCCTGGGTATCTTGGGAATCCTGGGAATCCTGGGTATCCTGAGAATCCTGGGAATCTTGAGCACTAACAAATGAGGGCTTTGGTCTCATATCTAGCCCAGTATAAGGTAATTTCTTCTCCAAACCTTGTCGCTGACAGGATTCACGATTGGTTTCGTTTCTTCGACTTTCGCTGTTGTTGTTGTTGAAGAGACAGCTGGCGCAACTTTGGCTGTCGGTTTCTCTAAAGTTTTCTCTAAAGCTTACAAACTACAGTAGTACAGTACTACAGTACTACAGATAACTCTATAACTACAGTACTTGATAGCTAAAGAACTAGTATCCCAGACAAACCCTTCTTCTTCGTTGATCCTCTTTTTGAGTCTTGTCTCCGGATTTTCCCATCTTTACTATTTTTCTTTGTCATTCCCTCCATTTTCTTTTTTCCACTGTCCGAGACGTCTCTTAGTGACTCGGTATCGCTTTTCTGAAAGGATTACTGTAGTTTGAGACAAGAGAAAAGACAAGACAAAAGACAAGACAAGAGCGTTTACTGTACGAAAAGATTACTGTACCTTGTCGACGAGTTTCTTCGGTTCCACAGCGAATGACATCATCGGAACGCTGGTGGGCGACGGTTCGAACTTTTTCTGAAGTATCTTATTGATTCCTCCTCCATTCTCCAACTCACCCTAGCCGCTTCCGCTTTCGCCGACAATACTTTCGGTATCGTCTCGTTTTTCACCTCGATTTTCGGCTTTTCGTCAATTTTCTTTAGTTCAACTTCTTTCTTTGCCTAAAGTTCATCAAATCGTATTGTAGTTTTAGAAAAAGTTATTGTACTTTTAAAGCTACAGGCTTCCATTTACTTTTCAGGCTACTGTACTTTTCAAACTACTGGCTACTGCCACAAATTTTACCTTTACAACAATGTCCTTTTTCGGCTCAACAGCGAAACTCACTGGCGCCGGCGTAGCATCGGATTTTTTCTGATAAGATAAGATTATTTTAGATCTAGATATCTAAGTTATCTAGATCAGATCTAGATCTAGATTTAGGCCTAGAACTAGATCTCTAGCTTAGATCTAGATCTAGGCCTAGAACTAGACCTCTAGCTTAGAACTAGATCTAGGTCTAGAACTAGAGCTCTAGCTTAGATCTAGATCTAGGCCTAGAACTAGATCCAGGCCTAGATCTAGATCTAGGTCCTAGAACTAGAGCTCTAGCTTAGATCTAGATCTAGGCCTAGAACTAGATCCAGGCCTAGATCTAGATCTAGGTCTAGAACTAGATCTCTAGCTTAGATCTAGATCTAGGTCTAGAGCTAGATCTCTAGCTTAGATCTAGATCTAGGTCTAGAACTAGGTCTCTAGCTTAGATCTAGATCTCCAGCTTAGATCTAGATCTAGATTTAGGCCTAGAACTAGGTCTCTAGCTTAGATCTAGATCTAGGTCTAGATCTAGGTCTAGAACTAGATCTCTAGCTTAGATCTAGATCTCTAGTTTAGATCTAGATCTCTAGCTTAGATCTAGATCTAGATTTAAGCCTAAAACTAGATCTCCAGCTTAGATCTAGATCTCTAGCTTAGATCTAGATCTAGATTTAAGCCTAGAACTAGGTCTCTAGATTAGATCTAGATCAGATCTAGATCCAGATCAGATCTCTAGATCCGATCTAGATCTAACTTCATATCTAAAATCACCTTTTTAAGCGACTTCTTCCTTGCCGATTTCTCCTCGACTTTCTCCACCTTTTCAGCCTTTTTCTCCTTTGGCTCATCGGGTTTTCTGAAAATAAAAACATCTTTTAAGAAAGCTATAAGAAAAGAAATGTTTTTTTTTTGATCTTGATCTCCTCTAGTTCGGTCTAGCCCTGCCAAAGCAGCCTAAAATCCGATTCTAGCTCAGTTCAGTTCAGATTTTAGTCTGATCTGGCCCAGTTTTGTTCAATTTTGTCCAACTTTAGTCAATTTAGTCGCAACTTTTCCCATTTCTGATCTTTACTGGTCCAGTTTTGGCTTGTATTCAAATTCCTGAGCTCACTTGGAAATTTCCGGCTGCGGAGTGGTGTCCCGGAGAACCGAGGAGGCTCGTTGTGAGTCACCAAGCTGAATTTCGAGATATAGAATCGTAGAGATCAGCTAGAAAATATTATAAAGAGCTATAGAAGAGCTACCGTAAATATTGTAATAGTACCCCATCCCCCTCGTACAGTCGCGTAGTCGCAAAAGTTTTTTAGTATTTCATTTTTTTTCCAAGCGCCCGTACTTTCAAAAAATGCGTCTTTGGTATCAAAAAAAATAGCCCTGAATCTCAGCTATTTTTTGATACCTAAGCGCGCACTGTAGCATAAACCAGTGTCGAGAAAAACGCGTCTAAAGCTAGACTACGCAACACTCCGCACCGTCATTATGGGGGTGGGGTACTATTAAAGTATTTACGGTATATCGTTTATAACAAATAGATCAAACAATTCTACTGCAAAATGATCATATAGCTACGAATGGAGACCGTAAATCATCGAATAGAACCTCATAATGACATCAGTGAAAGTAGTCTAACTTTGAAACCATTGACTTTGAAAGAAAACTTTGAAGGTGCCATTCTCCGGGTTGGTTTAAGCAAAAGTGTTTGCTTTGGGTGTTAAATGATAGCCTAGGAGATCTAGCCTAGGAGATCTAGCCTAGGAGAGCTACAGCCTAGGAGATCTACAGCCTAGGAGATCTAGCCTAGGAGATCTACAGCCTAGGAGATCTACAGCCTAGGAGATCTACAGCCTAGGAGATCTACAGCCTAGGAGATCTACAGCCTAGGAGATCTACTCTACTTCTACTCAAAAGTTTAGCTGAGAAAGAGCTAGAAGGTGAGCAAAAGAAAGCCACAAACTTGTTTCTGCCGAGCCAAACCCGACGTTTGCACTGGAGCCCATTTCGAGGCGTTCGACGATGGAATCAGTCCAGAAATTGGCTAAAATTTGATAATAGATTTATAGTTAAATATCTAGAAAATGAATATTTGATCCGAACCATATTGGAGCCATTAGAAATATTTCTTATTTCTAAATAAGAAGCTCGAGATAAGAAGCTCGAGATAAGAAGCTCAAGATAAGAAGCTCGAGATAAGAAGCTCAAGATAAAAAGCTATTTTCAAAGCAAAAAAAAAACCGTTGTATTGTTGTTCATCTCGATTTTCCCATTCGTTTGAATCTCCGGGGTTTTCACGGGGGCAACAGTGGTGCTGAAAAAGTAACAAAAATCATAATCAATCAATACAATATGTCAATTTTTCGATAAAAAATAGAAAAACGTATTGAAAAGTATAGAAAAGTCTAGAAAAGGATTTTAAAGTATTTTAAAGTATTTTAAAGTATTTTAAAGTATTTTAAAGTATTTTAAAGTATTTTAAAGTATTTAAAACTATTTAAAACTATTTTAAAGTATTTAAAACTATTTTAAAGTATTTAAAAGTATTTAAAACTATTTTAAAGTATTTAAAAGTATTTAAAACTATTTAAAACTATTTTAAAGTATTTAAAACTATTTTAAAGTATTTTAAAGTATTTTAAACTATTTTAAACTATTTTAAAGTATTTTAAAGTATTTTAAAGTATTTTAAAGTATTTAAAAGTATTTAAAAGTATTTAAAACTATTTAAAACTATTTTAAAGTATTTAAAACTATTTTAAAGTATTTTAAAGTATTTTAAAGTATTTTAAAGTATTTTAAAGTATTTAAAACTATTTTAAACTATTTTAAAGTATTTTAAAGTATTTTAAAGTATTTTAAAGTATTTTAAAGTATTTTAAAGTATTTAAAACTATTTTAAAGTATTTTAAAGTATTTTAAAGTATTTCAAATTACTCAAATTACTCAAAAGAATGCCTTTTTTTTAAACAAAAAAAACAATCTATTTGATATTTTCATGTTCTCTATTTTTGAAGCCTTTTAACTCATTGAATTTTCAGCTTTACCTACATGTATTATATATGAAAATGAAGGTCTAAATGTGCTCTACAAAACTCTAATACATTTCAAAACTGTAGAGTGAATGGTTTTTGATATTTTCGAGCTGTAAAGGTGAAGAAATCGTTTTTTCGATAAAAAATAGGGGATTTTCGATCTAATTTTGCTCAACTCTAATTTTGATTCAAAGCCTTTAATTTGAAATTGATCAAAGCTAATCTAAAACCTTTTTTTCTCTAAAATAAGAAAGAATATCTTAAATGATTGTTACGAATTTTCATAAAACTTGCATTTTAAGCGAAACTACTAAGTGTATCTTTTTGAAAATTTCGCTATAAGCCTAATTTTTGATTCTCTACAACTTTTCTATTGACACCAAACTGGGTTTCTTTTGAAGAAAGTGCTCAGAACTGGGACATCTCCAGTTCTCCATTTTTGAGTCTCACACTTGTCTCACAAACAAACCAAAATCCTACTACGAAAGAGGAATCCGAAAATTGCCTGTAAAATGGGCAGAAGTCGTCAATAATAATGGAAATTATTTGGAATGAATTTATGGTTTTATGTTCAAAAAATTTTAGTTCAAAATTCGGCAGTTTCCAATTCACCAACCCAATAGTTTAGCTTTATAGATTAGCTTTATAGATTAGCTTTATAGATTAGCTTTATAGATTAGCTTTATAGATTAGCTTTATGGCTTAGCTTTATGGCTTAGCTTTATAGATTAGCTTTATAGCTTACCGTATTTTCTCTAATAGTAGTGCACCCTGAGCGTCGCCTAAATTGCTCGAAATCTCGAGATCTCGAGAACCGCTTATCAGAACCTATCGATGTGGGGTCGGAAAATGTAGCTGACGATGAGATCTAGTGGGGGATTAGAGTGTTGAGCTTCTGCAAAAGCTTGGAAACCGTAAAATCGTCAGCAACTCGGCTCGCCGGGGTGCATTACTATTAGAGAAAATAGGGTATCTTTATAGCCTATCTTTATAGCTTAGCTTTATAGCTTATCTTTTTAGATCGATATTTCTAAAATCTAAAATCAAATCCAAAAAAACTCAAACCGAATCGGCAATGTATCTTTGGGTGGATCTTTGGATTCTTTCTCGGCCCACATCGAGATCCGTGAAGCGGCTGTTCCCCGTGGCACCTCAGATTCGATAACCTCTTTTGTAATCTAAAACAAAACAAGACAGTTTTCTAAGAGATGCACTCGGCAACCGTGATTCTAATTTGAAAATTGAAAATCTAGTCGTTAAAATCAAAGAAAAAGACTCACTTTTCCCAAATCTCCCACAAAATCAGCCTCACTCTCTAGGGGAATTTCCGAGCCGGAGTCTTGCTGAAAAAGGAATTTTTGATAGTTCTTTGTTAATGCCGAAGTTAAAGGCTAAAGTTAAAGGCTAAAGCTGACTCTAGATACAGTATAGTTAAACTATACTAGATACAGTTTTATCGTGTAAAAAGCTCCGTAAACGTTTTTCAAAGTACTACAGTCGTTTACAACGATGCTGTTGTGAGCTTGTGAGCTTGTGAGCTTGTGAGCTGGCTTCAGTGAGCTTAGATTGACCAAAATTTGGTCAATCGTTTTGATTTTTCTGGTGTTAAATATTGAGTATATCTCCTAAAACGGTGCCGATTATCTAAACGATTCAAAATCTTCAAATCTTTTATGTAATCTTTCAAAGTTGAGAGCCAAAGTCGCTCATTGATGGGATTTTTGAGAGCGATCCTTTTGAATATCTCGATTAAATTGAATTTAAATTGTATTTATGTGCTTATTGGGTTTATTGTTTATTGGGTTTTTTGCTTATTGGCTTGTCTATTGGCTTATTGTGTTTCAAATGTTCTAGGCAGTTAAAGCGGCAAAAAAACTCTTGAGAAACCCCACCAAAACTCACTCTAATAACGTCTGTTTTCATTTGAATGATTCATAAAAGAGCAAGGAAATTTTTTTTATCTAAAAAACAAGAAATTCATTGAAAATTGATTCAATTTTGGTCAATCTAGACTCTTCTGAAGTGAGGCAAAACGGCAGAATTTCACCGCAGACATTGTGGCGCTTTGCGTTTTGTTTGTGCATTTGTTTTGAATTTACATTCAATGAACCTCTTTCCCAAAAAAACGTTTGAAACGTTGCAAACGACGTTTAAGGCGATTTGGCGCTGGCCGACACTGGAAGATCTAGAGCTCAACAATCTCTAGAGCTCATCGATCTCTAGAGCTCATCGATCTCTAGAGCTCATCGATCTCTAGAGATCGATGAGCTCTAGAGATCGATGGTTGTTCGGATATAAACCAGGGTTTTAGGCGTTGATAAGATTCATTTTAAAAATAGAAATAACAGAGTTTAATCAAAAATATATTTGCCATTATTATTGATTATTTCTTGCCATCTTTAGCGGAAAGAAATGATGCCCCTTTTCAAAAATTCAGCCGGCTATGACTCGAGAAACTCAGAAATCTTAGACATCTTCAAGGGTTTTGAATTTTTCATTAACTAAAGGGTTTTGCTCATCGATCTCTAGAGCTCAACGATCTCTAGAGCTCAACGATCTCTAGAGCTCATCGATCTCTAGAGCTCATCGATCTCTAGAGCTCATCGATCTCTAGAGCTCATCGATCTCTAGAGCTCATCGATCTCTAGAGCTCATCGATCTCTAGAGCTCATCGATCTCTAGAGCTCATCGATCTCTAGAGCTCATCGATCTCTAGAGCTCATCGATCTCTAGAGCTCATCGATCTCTAGAGCTCATCGATCTCTAGAGCTCATCGATCTCTAGAGCTCATCGATCTCTAGAGCTCATCGATCTCTAGAGCTCAACGATCTCTAGAGCTCAACGATCTCTAGAGCTCAACGATCTCTAGAGCTCAACGATCTCTAGAGCTCAACGATCTCTAGAGCTCAACGATCTCTAGAGCTCAACGATCTCTAGAGCTCAACGATCTCTAGAGCTCAACGATCTCTAAATCTCAACCCCTTAGCTTACTCAACATGGCCAATTCTTGAATGCAAAGCATATGCTAAAGTCCACAAATCAATTTCCCAAATCAATTGACTCGTTTAAACGAGATTTAATCAAGACATGTAACAAAATCCCTATTATCCCTACAAAACAAAATCCACCATTGAAAAAGCCATTAATCGGTGGCTCGAAACTTTTGTGTCACCTTGTAAATGTATTTTTTTTTTCATCTAATCTCACTCACCCTAACAAATGTGTCTCTCAAAATCCTCTTTGGTTGTTTCGTCGATGTGAATTCGGGTTGTGCACTTGCCGCTCTTTGTTGTCCTTGATTGAACATCGCTCGGATGTTGGCCGCTTTTCCCTGTGGGATCTCCTAAAAATTCGTTATGTTTTTTTCTTTCTTCTGAAAGCTAAGATAACTGAAATTGTATTCTTTGAAGCTAAAAAATTGTCTATTTTAAAGGTTCCTCTTGTTCATTTTTGTTCATTTTTGCTTTCTTCTTCATTTTTGCGCACATTTTTGAACATTATGTCTTGACGTTCTTTCAAAAATTCTCTTCGATACTTTAGAATCTCTTTCTGGGTACTGTAGTCTTGTAGAAATACAATAAAACGATAAAAGTTCTGTAGAATTCTGTAGAAATAACGTAATTTTCAGGGTAGGCTAATTTCCGCAATTTTTTCTTGAGCAACTGGATTCTTTGCGACAACTGGATCGTTTGAGCAACTAGGTCTTTTGCGCAACTTGCCATAACTTTCTTCTAGGTCGGCCAATCTTTATGATTTTTGGCTTCATTTTATTGCACTTATTGAAATCTACAAAATGACACAAAGAGCAGAAAGATTGGCCCATTTAGAAGAAAGTTATGGCGAGTGGACCAATTTTTATGATTTTGCTGTCATTTTGTAGATCTCAATAAGTGCAATAAAATGACACAAAGAGCAGAAAGATTGGCCCACTTAGAAGAAAGTTATTGATCAGAAGAGTCGGAAGGAAGATGGTCCTGACCTAGATGAGTCATAACTTTCTTCTAAGTCGACCAATCTTTATCATTTTGGTGTCATTTTGTTAGACTTGTTGAGATCTACAAAATGACACAAAGAGCAAAAAGATTGGTCCATTTAGAAGAAAGTTATGACTCATCTAGGTTAGGACCATCTTCCTTCCGACTCTTCTGATCAATAACTATCTTCTAAGTCCACCAATCTTTCTGCTCTTTGTGTCATTTTGTAGATCTCAACAAGTCTAACAAAATGACATTAAAATCATAAAGATTGGTCCATTTAGAAGAAAGTTATGGCAAGTTGCGGAAAAAAAAAATGCGGATATTAGCCAACCCTAAATTCTCCACAAAAAAAGCATTGATTAAAGCGATATGAGAAACACCAAAAATAGCAGAAATTTGTGTGAGTTTAAAGTTTTTCGATCATCATTTTAAAGCCTTTGCTCACTCTGTAGCTCCCTTAAATCAACAATCTTCATTGCATTTTTCCAAAAAAACCCGCAACAACTTGATCGATTTTTTTTGATGAACAATTTATTGACAAATTCGTTTTAAAATTTTTAAAAAAATCTCAAAAATTCTCAAAAAAAAAAAAAAAAAATTTGCAAAATCTCTGTGCAAAAACCATGCAAAAGATATAGTGGATTGACAGATTTCGCGAAAATTTTTTTGATCGTTCAAGTTGTTGCCTAGGTTTTGTTTTCTTGAGAAAAAAATAAAAGACTGTGATTTAATGAAAATCGTGTTAATTCTTCTGGCAAAAAACACACACAAATGGAAGTTTTTTTTTTGGGTTATTTCGAGTCAAAAGCTAGTTTTTTTGGGCTATTTTGACTCAAAAGCTAGTTTTTTTGGGTTATTTTAAGTCAAAAACTAGTTTTTTTGAGTTATTTTAAGTCAAAAACGAGTTTTTTTTGGGTTATTTTGGATCAAAAGCTAGTTTTTTTGAGTTATTTCGAGTCAAAAGCTAGTTTTTTGGGTTATTTCGAATCAAAAACTAGTTTTTTGAGTTATTTTGACTCAAAAGCTACCGTAAATACTGTAATAGTACCCCACCGCCCTCGTACAGTCGCGTAGTTGCAAAAGTTTTTTAGTATTTCATTTTTTTCAAAGCGCCCGTACTTCCAAAAAAATGCGTTTTTGGTATCAAAAAATAGCCCTGAATCTCAGCTATTTTTTGATACCTAAGCGCGCACTGTAGCATAAACCAGTGTCGAGAAAAACTCGTTCAAAGCTAGCCTACGCAACACTCCGCACCGTCATTATGGGGGTGGGGTACTATTAAAGTATTTACGGTAGTTATTTTGACTCAAAAGCTAGTTTTTTCGTTGTTTTGACTCAAAAGCTAGTTTTTTGGGCTATTTTGACTCAAAAGCTAGCTTTTTTGGGTTATTTTAAGTCAAAAGCTAGTTTTTGGGTTATTTTGGATCAAAAACGAGTTTTTTTTGGTTATTTTGACTCAAAAGCTAGTTTTTTTGGTTATTTTAAGTCAAAAAAACAATTTTCTCTCTTTCTTTTTTCACTTTTCCAACTTGAAAAATCATCTTTTCTTGCATTCGGAGCCTTGCAACATGAGCGATAGAAATTAGAAGGGGGGGAAATGAAAAGCTCGATAGAAAATCGATGCAAATCGATGCAAAAGAAAAAAAAAAGAGTTTTAAGGTGAAAAATCTAGGTTAAAATCCGAGTTTTTCTGAGATTTCCTGAGAATTTCTGAGGTTTTTCTGCAAAAAAAAAAACGAAATTCTCTGTTCGTTCTGTCTCAAATCAAAAAAAAAAATCTCAATTTCAACCTTTAAAACAATCATATTTTTCTTTTAAACTCTAAAAATCAACTTTGTAAAGCTCTAGAAATTCAATTTCAATTAAAACCGTTTCAATGATTAGATTGGCGAGGAGAAATCGTCGAGAAATACCAGAAAAAGAAAACCAGAAATAAAAACACCGTATTCCTACCGGATTTGCAAAGAAAACAAGCGAATTTCAAGCAAATTTCAAGAGAATTTCAAGAAAAACTCACATGAAATTCGGAAAACATCGCGATTGGCTAAAAGTTGGGTGAAATTAAATTACAGTACCCTAGAAGAGAAATTTGTTAGTCCATGCACACACACAAAAAAAAGAAATCAAATTCCATTCGATTTTCACCCTTTCAAGGAACCTGGGATTACTGTAGCTGGCTTAATGCAAATTTTCGAGCTAATTTACCCTGGAATTGGCTTGAAATCCCTGAAATCGAGTAGCTATTGTTTAAAGACAAATATTTTCCTACTGTTACGGTATCCCAGAAAGCTCGAGTACCCAAGCTAGAGTACTGTTGGTCTCCCAAGGCATAATATCTAAACTAGGGCTACAATGTGGGTGCGTCATCATTGCTTGGGCTTTACAGGGCTACAATGGGTGCGTCATCATTGCTTGGGCTTTACAGGGCTACAATTTGGTGCGCAATCATTGCTTGGGCTTTACAGGGCTACAATGGGTGGGTCATCATTGCTTGGGCTTTACAGGGCTACAATTGGGTGCGCAATCATTGCTTGGGCTTTACAGGGCTACAATGGGTGCGTCATCATTGCTTGGGCTTTACAGGGCTACAATGTGGGTGCGTCATCATTGCTTGGGCTTTACAGGGCTACAATGGGTGCGTCATCATTGCTTGGGCTTTACAGGGCTACAATTTGGTGCGCAATCATTGCTTGGGCTTTACAGGGCTACAATTTGGTGCGCAATAATTGCTTGGGCTTTACAGGGCTACAATGGGTGCGCAATCATTGCTTGGGCTTTACAGGGCTACAATGGGTGCGCAATCATTGCTTGGGCTTTACAGGGCTACAATTTGGTGCGCAATCATTGCTTGGGCTTTACAGGGCTACAATGGGTGCGTCATCGTTGCTCATACTCACTCTGGAGGGTGTAGCTCAGTCAAAAGATAACCGAATCGCACAAAAATTTTACAGGCAAATGTTGAGTGGGTCTCCTGTAGCGGTGCCGATTATCTAACCGATAGGAGCTCATAAATCTTTTAAACAAGCTCTCAAAGTTGAGAGACACAGTTAACTTGGTGCTACACAGACACAGTTACCTAGTCTCGGGGTTTTTGAAGTGACATTAAAAGCCGATTGGGGAAATTTTTGCACCAAATTTATCAGAAGCATGTTTTTCAACCTCCGATCATCGTTTACGAGAAAAATCTCACACAAAATGACAAAAAAACCCCTGCTTATTTATGATTTTCGTCATCTAAAATCCGGTAAATCCGGTTTAAAAAGTTGAAAAAGAAAAGCGAACTGATTAATCGTTTGGTAATTTTTAGTTTTTAAAATCTATATCTAAACATTATTTTGAAAACTAATAAAAAAACGTAGCTCTTCTCAGTAAGCGGCTCTTTTTTCAAAAACCCCGAAAACTAGATCGGGCGCCAAGCTAAGTGCGACTCTCAACTTTGAGAGTTTGTTTAAAAGATTTAGGAGCTCCTATCGATTAGATAATCGGCACCGCCACAGGAGACTTGAGTGGGCTCAAACTTGATCTGTAAAATTCTTGCGGAAATCGGTTATCTTTTGATTGAGCTACACCCTCCAGAGTGAGTATGAGTAATTATGACGCACCCTGTAAAATGCCTAGAGAGTGCTTTTCACATAGCTAAAGTACCTTACCAGAGCTACAGTAGCCAAAGCCAAATCCAAGGTACAGTAATCCTAAAGTACCTTAGCAGAGCTAAAGCTAAAGCTAAATAAAGTACCTTACCAGAGCTACAGTAGCCAAAGCGAAATCCCAGGTACAGTAATCCGAGGAAATACTACAGTGATGGGGCAACGATTACTGTAGCTTAGCCGCAGTATCCTAAAACTACAGTAACCCAGAGCTACAGCTGTCAGGCAGGGACAACTGTAACTACAGCCAAAAGCCTAAGCCTAAGCGAGATATGATAATCACCGAAAAATCCCAAACCCAAATAGACTCAGTCTTCGCCAAGCCTGAGCCTGAGCCTGAGCCTGAGCCTGAGCCTAAGCCTAAGCCTAAGCCTAAGCCTGAGCCTGAGCCTCAATCCTCTTCTTCCTCCTCTTCTTCTTCTTCTTCCCATTCTTCACTCTCTTCAGCGATCTCCGATTTCTCAGCCTCTTCTTCGTCTTCGTATTCAGATTCTTCATCATCTTCCTCATTCTTGATGTAATTCTCTACTTTTATTTCCTCCTCCTCCTCATCTTCTTCTTCTTTATCCTCTTCCTCACTTTGCACCCCACTCTCCCCTTCTTCTTCTTCATCTTCAGCTTCAACTTCTCCATTTCCCCCAACCTTTTCCAAATCGGCTCTCGATATGTGCAGACTCTTCTCATCGTAACACGCGTCGGCTGTCGATTTGTCCTAAAATTGAATATTCAATATTTAACATGGGGACTTTTAAGCTCGCAGATTGTTTAGCGCTTTCAAAAAATTGTTTTATAAAAAAATCGTCAAGAAATTTTTGAGAAAAAAACTCGACTTTCTAGTTTATTCTTACAGTTTACTAGATTTGATATTCCGGAAAATCGTTTCATCGATCCTCGATCACCAAATTTCATGATCACCAAAAGGAGTCATAGTCTTAGTTGTTCTTGTTTAACGATCAGAAAGTCTTCACTATTCTTCACTAAACAGCTTTCGTAGTTAGAGCACATATGAAAACGTTAGAATCACATTTCAGTTTTCGTTCTTCTAAGAAAGCTAAACGAGAAAGCTAAAGCTATTTGTGGATAAACTCAATTTATCACGCTACCGTGAATACTCTAACAGAATTACAGTTAACTCTAACCGCATTACAGTTAACTCTAACAGAATTACAGTCGCGTAATCTAACTTCTTTTCAGAAAATCATTTTTTTTTCTTAGCTTCTAGACTTTTTCCCAACCACACTTTTGGTGTCAAAAAAATACTAGTTTTCAAGGGCTCATTTGACACCCAAGCGCACACTGTAGCATAAAGTAGCGCGAAGAATGGGACGTTCAAAGTTAGACTACGCGATTGCACGCCCGTCATTATGGCATTCTATTAGAGTATTTCCGGTAATTACTTGATATACACCCTTGCGGAAAAACCTTATTAAGCCATTGTCCAGCTCGAGCTCGAGCTTCAGTCAAGCCTAAGCCAAGCGCTAGTCAACAGCGCCAACTCTTTGGTTTGTCCTACAATTTATTGGCGAGACCTAAAGCCAAGCCAAACTGGGAGTCTAGCGCTTGGATTTTGTTGATTGTTTGGATTTTGTCTTCTAAAAAGTGTACCTAGAAAAAAAAAGGCTATCGTATTCCTTTAGACAATAAAGTCAGATAATCTTTTAATGCAAATTTCTCTTTCAATCCCATCGCAGCGCTTGGCTTAGGTTTAACTGAAGCTTGAGTTGGAGCTGGAGCTGGAGCTGGACAATGACTTACTAATGGCTTTTCCGTAAGAGCTGAGTGTATATAATCAAGCAATCCCCTTCATGCTCACCTCATCATCGGAATCGTTCTCCAAATCGGCTAACAATCTTGCCGCTTCCATTTCCGATAGCTCAGGCATCTCAAAATCGGAATCCTAAATTTGAATTTGATTTGAATTTGATTTCAATTTCGATTTAAAGAAAATTTGCATAAATTTCATAGCAAAGTGAAAATTTTAGCCCCCAAAGCCCTTTTTTAAGCTCACCGACAAGTCACTCCAATTGAAATCTTCCTAAACATTGAATACAGTACTAATAAGTACTATTTACGATGATTTTTAATATCTAACATAGCTAGAGAGTGCTCCTTTTTTTTTATAAGTTGCACCTGTTTCTTCAGCGGATTTTTCTTTCGCTCAACCGGCGTCAACGATTTTTTCACCTCTTTCTCTTTTGGTGGCTCGTCTTCCTGAAAATTTACATTCAATATTTTGAACTCATTCAATCCAAGTTTCACAGGCCTTTTTTGGACTTTTTATGCGCGCTACCTCGAGAAATTAGATCGACTCTTTAGCCGGATAGCTAATGCCATGCAAAAACTCACGCATTCTAGTGGGAAACAATTTTTTTTTAAATGCTTCACCCAGCAAACTGGATGTCACACTTGAATTTGCTCAACCAATTTTCGTTAAAAAGATCGATTTCGGCATCAACCCAATTACTCTTGAAAACTCAAGAATTTCAGTAAAAAAAAACTAGCCCTTTGACTATTTTATTCTTCGATCTGAATGGCACATTTTAATTTGCTCTATCAACTTTCGTTAAAAAGATCGATTTCAACATCAACTCAATTGCTCTTAAAAACTCGAGAGCTTCAGCAAAAATCTAGCTCTTTAACTATTTTATTCTTCGATCTGGATGTCACACTCTTTAATTCTTTAATGAAAAATGAAAAATGGAAATAAAAACTGAAAAGTGAAAAGTACCTGTTTGAGGAAAGTCGATTGCAATTTGATCTTGGGCACAGGCGCAGAGGCTTGATTGTTGAGGAAGGGAGAGGCTCCATTTTGATCGAATAGCGCACGCATGCCTCTAGCTGCACCGATTGGGATCTCCTGAAGGATATTGTTTTGCTAAAGTTACAGTATACTGTTCACTTATCTTACTTCAGTATACCTAAAGTATGCAGCTAGCAAAGCTTACTACTTTCTGCTTCAAGGGTAGCTACAGTAAGCCTGAATACTTGCCGTAACCAGTAGTAGAGGAGCTTGAAAGCTTACAGGAGCTCGAAAAGTATCCGAATAATATGCAAATGCGAATAATACAAGTATCCGAATAATTTCCAAGCTTTTTACTTGAGAATACTCTATTTTCGTAGCTCTACTAACCTTTTCAATATCCTCCTTTGTCACAATCAGACTCTTCTCGTCAAAGCCCACTTTTTCGTCGTCTTGTTGCGGTGCCTGAAAAATAATCTTACAATTAGACTTGAAGTTGAACTTGACTTGAACTCGACTTAGCTTTTGACTCAGTCCATCTATAGTCTAGAACCAGTTTTAGCTCTAGGGCTTTAGGGCCGGACTAGAGCCAGGTCACAATATCAGAATCAGGTAAACTCTTACTTGCCTAACGAAAAGTTCTGCCTAGGTTGGGCCAGCCTGACTTGAGCCATTGGCTTGGCTTGATTTGACTGTTAGAATATTTCTGATGTCTATAAGATGGACTTGGTCTTGAGCCAAAAAGCCAGCTCGACTCAGTGCTTTTCCCTTGTTAGTCATCGAACTCACCGGTGGTGTACTGTGTGCCCGAATCTGTCTCTCGGGTGCCATTAGCTTCTGTCCCTTCTCTTTCTTTTCTTTTTTCTCTTTCTTTTCCTTTTTCCTCTCTTCTTCATCTGCTTCCAATTCTTCTAATAATGCTGCAGCTTCAGCTTCGGATAAATCAGGCATTTCTATTGATTGTTCCTGAAAATAGTGAGCATTAAAGCGAATTTCCAAGCTCAAAACCCTCACCTTTTTCTTCAGCTTTGCATTCCGCAATCGTTTGATCTCTTTTACAGCATCGTTGCTCTTTGGTTCAGCCTGGAATCAATAGTTAATTACTAGAGAGAGAGAGAGCTAGAGAGCTTACTAATTATTAGCAATAGTTACTAGAGATTACTAGTTACTAGCAATAGTTATTAGAGCTGTTCATTTGTCAGTCAACTTTTCAATAGGTGTACAACAGAAAAACGAGATTTTACCACTTCGATGACTACTTTTTCAGGATTTCTTGCATGAAAGTCGAACTTTCCAAACTCTATCTTTTGATCTGAAAACCCTTTGAAAAAGTAGCCATTGAAGCGGTCAAATCTCTTCTTTTCCGTTCTACACCTATTGATAATCAGACTGACAAATGAACAGCTCTAATAGTTACAGGTTAAACAGTTTGTTTCACAAACCTTTTTCACTGCAGCTTTCGGCACCTCGACTTTCTTCACGACAACCGGCTCTTCTTCCTCTTCTTCATCCTCTTCAGACTCCTCTTGAGCCAAGGTGAATTTGCGCTAAATACGTAGCTGTAATTTATACACAAAAGCTACAGTAACCTAAAGGGAGCTTGCTACCGAGCTACAGAGCTATTTACAGCCCCCAAGCTGGTTCAGTTACTTCAGCTTCAGCGCTAAATGCACTAAATCCTCAGCACCAAAAGACTCGCGATTGCATTAAACAATGAAGAAGCCAGTGCGCCAAATGGTGCGCTTATAAAAGCTACAAGCAGAAAGTACACTCACCTGTACGGGCAATCGGTCCTTCAACGGTAACATTTTCGTTTGCAACTGTTGCACTTGTGGTTGTTGCATTTGTTGATTCCATAAGGCTTTCATTCCGCCAGCGATTCCCTTTTTCACTTCCTAGATATTATAAATCTTATATCTAGAAATATCTAGCAATTTTTCAAACCTTTGCAATATCATCAGCAGTCACGTGCAGATTCTTCTCATCAAACGCGAAATCGGGCTTTTTCGGCTCAGGTGGCGGTTCTATCTGAAAATTTCTCAATATAGGCTTCATAATTTGCATATAAATCAAAAAAATTTCAATTTATTTGGTTATTGAATATTAGTAGCGTAGCTTTAGCATCAAATATCAAGCTAACCTTTTTCGGCTCAGCTTTCTTCGCTTTCGGCTTCGGTTCCTCGTCGAGTTCGGCAAGGAGCGCGGCAGCTTCTTCTTCCGTAATTTCCTGGAGAATTTCCCTTGCATTTAACTACATTTTACTATAGTAGTCTAATAGATTACGATAGCTTTAGGTGCTTCCTAGCTACCGGAATTCGCTGTAAAGTCAATGCTATGGTTTCCTATATGCACAGGTAGTTAGTGCTAAAAAAAGTGCCTTTTAGAGGCAAGCTACCGTGCGCTTTTCTTTTTAGCAAATCAAGCTATGTCTTAAATTACTATAGCACTCTTTCACCACCGGGTTCCTCTTCTCTACAAATTTTCTCTACAAATTTGGTTCCTTTTCTCTACCAATTTGGCTCCTTTTCCCTTCCTTTAGATTACTGTGACTTGAGCGTTCTGTAGCTGGCTAGTCATGTTTGGAGTTTGGATTACGGTAGCTTTGAGGGCCTTGTAGCGACCGTGATTTCTTTTTGATGCAAGATTCAGACTAAAGTAGTCAGAAGAAAAGGCTACACGATGGCGTTTTCTAAAGGGCATCTTTTAGAATACGCAATTTATCCGCGAATACTGTAACTCATTTGATGAAAACTCAAGCTTCCTCTTTACCTCTTCAGGATCGGGTAACTTCGGCTTGGCTGCGGCCAACTTTTCATTGTCGATTCTCACCAACGGAGTCCCGGATGTCATCGTCGCATCAACGATTAAACCCGATCGATCTTTCGTCTCCACTTTTTTCAATTTGATCCCACCTAGAATACTGATCTTTTTAATATCCAAATATATTTACCTTTAATATTATTCAGCAGTTGATTCATATCCAAATCAGCCGCCGTTTTACCACCCAATTTCTTCAGCTTCGGATTCACAACTTCTTTCTTTACCCGTGGAGTTGAGATGGCTGTTGGAGGGGGAAGGGGCTGAAGGTTATGGTTCATTTTAAATGTTGAAATAAAGTTTTTGTATAAAACATTTATCTTTTAACCCAGTGTACCTGATAGAACTTTTTACGCTGATAACCAGCCAACCGAGCCTGCAAGCTACGGTAGCCAGAGGTCAATTCCAGAAGTCAAGTTGGTTTGACACTGACCCTAGTAGCTGTTGCTTTGTAATACAAGTACAGTAGTAGTACTGTAGCTAGGGGTGTTTCAAAACAAAAACCAAAAACAGGACCTATTTTGTATTTAGCAGACTTTACCTAGAAAAAAATCAGCTTTGAGCTGAATTAGACTCACCGGTGCATCGCCCATCGGTGGTGGTGGTGGCGGTGGGCCGGGTGGGGGTGGAGGAGGTGGGCCGGCGATTGATGTGGGCGGGAAATCCGGTACTAAATTCGGTACTAGTTATCTAATATATCTAGATCTAACTGCATTTTTAAAAAAAATCAATATTTACGTGTAAATTCCGGAGTCGCGCCCTCTTTCTTCTGAAACAGTCCTCCTTGTAGCATTGAATCGTCGACGATTAGACCCGATTTGTCGGCGGTTTCCGTTTTCCGTAGCTTGATTCCACCTGGAAATTTCCATTAGAGGATTTCGCAATTTGCATATATGCAAATTTTTCAGCTATCCACCTTTTATAGAGTTCAAAAAGGCGCCCAAGTCGACGTCGTTCGCCGCTTTTCCACCTAGCTTCTTCAAGGCCGGGTTGTTGACCTGAAAACGGACTGTTCCTGGGATTTCAGTGCACCAGAAAACCTTTTGTCCGAGAAAATTCTGGGTTGGCACTTTGAAAGCGTGGCAAAACTACCGTATCCCTCCTAATTTGCAGGTATAAAAGAAAGTGCACAATTTCATTCTTTCATTCTTGTTCTTCATTTCATTTCCTGCTTTTTGCATATTTCTGATGTGGTTTTCTTCGTATTCTTTATGAGTAATGATGAGATAAATTTCTGGAATAGATTTACAAAAGAAATTTCAAATTACATTCAAAACGAAGAAACTTCTTTGCAAATTGCACCATTAACCACACATGAAAGAAGGAAGCGCAATTTTAATCGTTTTACCACTTTCTCGTAGTTCCACAAACTAACATCTTTATTTTTTGCCCGAAAATGCTTCGAACTTTAATTAACTCGACATTGCAAGATGGTTTTATAAAAAAAAAAGAAACTTAGCGAATTCCTTACAGAAAATGGAGAAACCTCTTTCCTTACATACCTAAAGGTCGCTGATTCAGTTTAGTTAAAAAATCATGGTTGTTTCAGAATAATTACTGAAAGACAGAATTAGAATGGGTTGTGCGAGAAGGCTTAAGTGCAGAAATACGCAAAAAGAATGAAATGAAATAAAGAACAAAAATGAAAGAATGAAATTGCACACTCTTTTTATACCTGCAAATTAAAAGGATAGCTTTACCACGCTTTAAAGCACCAACCCAGGATTTTCTCGGACAAAAGGTCGCAAGTCACAAGGGGTGCGTTTGTGAGCACAATGCATTAGCTAGTACCTCTTTGGGCTCCCGTTTCACCGTTGATCCACTGGGTGTAGAGCCTAGCGAGGGAACCGGTGGCGGTGGCGGGGGTGGAGGAGGGCCACCTGAAGAGGTGGACGCTAAAAATAGAGAGATAAGCGATAATAACTATCCAATATATATGTATTAAACGTTTTCAGATGTACTTTGAGCTCATCTCTGGTAAAAGCACCCCTTTTGGAGCCCCAAATTCCTCGTTTTTGTTGCTACATGGAAAGCGCAGAAATCAGGGCATGAAAGAAAGCGGGCGTTTACCAGTTTTAAGTCCAAAGTACACCAAAATACCTTAGATATCTATATTCGCTATATAATTATCAAAAAAACCCCTCACGTTGTTCCTCTTTCTTGAACAGCCCGCCCTCTACCATCGAATCGTCAACAATCAACCCAGATTTGTCGTTGGTAACAGTTTTCCGCAATTTCACTCCACCTAAAGATTAATTTTTAAGTCATCTACAGTATTTATATATTAAATCTATGTTTATATTAAATATTACATATTAAATTTTGACTCTTTAATCAATCCAACCTCTAACTGATTGCAGAAACTCGTCCAAATTGACTTGAGCGGGAGATTTTCCGCCCAGCTTGCCGAGGGTCGGGTTTGAGGTGGCTCTGAAGCTTTTGATTAGATAAAAAGTAGATGAAATTTTCATAACAAGCTATAGAATCTATTTCAGTATATATCTGATATACAAATTGGGCTAAAACTGATAAATAATGTGCTCAGGGTCGGGACTGAGACTACTCCGGTCCATTTGGTGCTACCAGTCCCCATAAAGACGTTACTAGCCTAATCACTGTATTTTTAGATACTTTTTTCTATATCTAGATGCCTTTCCTATATCTAGACAAACCTCTTGAGTCCATTTTGTGGTGGAGCGAGGAGGGATGGCGGTGGAGGAGGACAGGCAGCCGGTGGAGGCGGTGGGGGAGGGGCTGGAGCTGCGTTCTCGTCCGTCTAAAATTCAAATTGGTTTTTATGCAATAGGTACACTACGATACATCTAATGATATATTAGATGCAGTGTAGCGTAGTGTAGTGTATCGTAGTGTACCGTTGAGTTGTCAACTAAATAACCGGACTTTTTCATTAAAAATTAGTTAGAAATGTTGAATGCATCAAATGAAGTACGGGTTTTGGAAAGAGTGGAAAGAATTTTGAATGAACCCTTCGAAAGATCTATATTTCCTCTACAAAATGGTTGTTGCCAATTTAGAAAAGTTTTATTTTTTGGGGGATTTCGGGAGCGCAAAGGTGAATAGGCAAAATTGGCGAGAAAATCGACTTGATGAGAACTTTGATGATGAGAACTGGAAACTTCTTTGATGGGAACTGATACTAAATTTCTATGCGAAAGAAAGCTCAATCTTTGTTATATTTTTAGTAAAGTTTCCAGTAAAATCCATGGATCCGTTTTCTATAAATTTTAAGTTATTCAGAGTGATCAAAATCCTTTATTTGATCACTTGTTCGAAGCAAAATTCAGAAAAAACGGCTGCACTATTTGGTTGTAAATTTTACTGAAAATATGAAAAACTAAAGAGCTTTATGTTAAAAACTAGATCTCATTTGGTTCCGCCATCATCTTTAAAACCAACTCTTTCCAAAAAGTTCGGTTATTTAGTTTACAACCTAACATATCAAAAATGAAAGCTGTCTGCAGTCAAATTCTGGCTAAAACGATTCACTTTTCTTACTGATTCAACTCCAAAAAGGATGTGTTTACCCAGAATCTCTCACGTGTTCTATGTGCTCTCAAAAAACACGTAAACATACCTTCTCTGGCGCCCACAATTCTTCACTTCTCTTATAGAATCAGCCCCAGAAAGAATGTGTTTACGTGTTTTCTAAGCACATCTAACTTTCTTCTCCAACAAAACCCACCCCATTCTGCGCACTCTTTTTCTTCTTCTTCACCGATCCCTTCTTTTTCGTTGTCGTCTCTCCATTTCCTTCTTTTGAATCTTTCCTCAACAATGTCGACTTCGATTTGTCGCTTTTTGTCGGTCGGAGACGATTCGCTCGAATTTCCTGCAAAATTTTCGAATTTCAGTGATACTTGGGTGTACTGCCTAGACAAATCTTACAATTAGAATGCATCTAGCTCGAAAGTTGTACTAATTACTAATCGTAGCTTAGCTTTAGCTAATAATCGTAGCTTAGCTTTAGCTATTAATCGTAGCCTAGCTCTAACTACTAATCGTAGCTTAGCTTTAACTATTAATCGTAGCCTAGCTCTAACTACTAATCGTAGCTTAGTTTAGCTATTAATCGTAGCCTAGCTCTAACCACTAATCGTAGCCTAGCTTTAACTAATAATCGTAACTTAGCTTTAACTAATAATCGTAGCTTAGCTTTAACTACTAATCGTAGCCTAGCTCTAGGTTTACTTTTTAGTTTTACTAAAGATTTAAAGATTCAAAACCCCACATCAAGTACAGGATTTGCGGACATTCTTTGTTCTTTCTCTTTCTCTTCACCGTCCCGAGCTCATCTCACGATTTTTGGCGATCTTAAGCTTTGAAAATATTCTTTGAAAGTTACAGAACAATGTGTAAAGCATCTAAATTTAAAAATAGTCATGAAATGAAAAAAAACGAAGTGGAAAAAGATGGGATGAGTCAAATGAAAACATTCGGAGGAAAAGGAATGGAAAATAGGGAATTTCGAGGAAAGATCGAAGAATTTTTATAAGAAAAAAATTGAAATCTGAAAAGAATATTGATTGTTTCAGAAGAAATAGGGAAAGCAATCAAATTTTGGTGATCTGATTGATGAAATCGAAATTGTTTGAATGAGATTTGTGAGTGACGACAAGGAATTGGAAAGATTGGGATAAAGAACGCAAAAAATCGACACAAACACATAACATAACAAATGGGTGAAAGGAAAGAGCTGAAGAAAGGGGGGAAAAGCGATCACACAATACCCATTCCACACATAACGAGAAAGCCTTGGGATCTGACAAGGGAATGGTTAGATTTATTGTTATTTTCTTCCTAAAAACTTTTAAACAACCCAATCTGGAAGTCTTCAAGATAATTCACTAGAATCTTTACAGCTTTTTATCTTGTTTATTCATCTTTAACAAACAAGATAACAATATTAAACAGATAACAAAATTAAACATAAAAACAGATTTAGATGCATCAATCAAAGCAATTAAAATCAAAGCAATCAATTACCAAAGCAAATTGATTGATTTGATTGAGCAATTGATACATCTAAATCAACAAATTCGTCATTTTCTTCTTCCCGATTTCACTTCTTGGAATTCCCAAATTCCTGTTGATTGAAGCGACACCAGCAAATCATTAATTTCTTTCTCCAATCGTTCGAGCGTCTTTTAGCCGCTGTAGCCCATTTGGAATAGCCCTTGTCGGCCTTGAAACACTGAATCATATTGTCCTCATCACCGTTGGCTGCAATCACTCAATCTCTATATCGCTAGGAAGCTTTTGACATGTTGTGGCCGCCGCTCAATAAGAATTGGTGCCGCTTCAGAAACGATTCCAGTCTTCTTTCAGTCTTCCAGTCTTCCAGAACAGTCTTCTTTTGAAGGGAATCTCTGCATCAAGCAAATCGTTTCAGATTATTCGACTGGGCACTCGCTTTTTTCGCTCCCTTTTTCAAGAATCCATATTGCCAAAGCTTCATCAATCTCTTTTGAGGTCAAGCGCCTCCGCCACCATCGAGCTGCTTCCTTTTTCATGCATTTTGCTCAGTTCATTTGTTGATGAACTGAGCAAAATGTATCATCGTATCATTGGACACAAGCTCAATCAATTTTGTAGAACCTGGCAGCAGCATGAACGGAGACTTCGCGAGCAATTCTTGCAGCATCGAGTTCTTGCAAAATCGAGAACAATTCCATCCAACAGTCTTCTTTTAAAATCTCTGCATCAGCAAATCGATTTACCGCTTCGTTTCAGATCATTTGATGAATTACTCACTTTTTCGCTCCCTTTTTTCAAGAATCCATATTGCCAAAGCTTCATCAATCTCTTTTAAGGTCAAGCGCCTCCGCCACCATCGAACCGCTTCCTTTTTTGTTGATGAACTGAGCAAAATGTATCATCGTATTGGACACAACGTATTGGACACATCGTATTGGACATTGGACACAAGCTCAATCAATTTTGGTAGCTGCAGAACGGAGAACGGAGACAGAAACTGTCAGCGGCATGAACGGAGACTTCGCGAGTCATTTTTGCAGTATCGACTCGAGTCTTTGCTATTTTCTTTCGCTAGCTTTTTTTCATCTAGCTTTTTTTCTTTCGCTTTAGCTTGTCCATTCCCTCGTTTGCTTCTTTGTCCGATTCCTTGTGCAAATTTTTCGTTCAATTCACGTTGATGTTCTCGCCCATCTTGGAAGAATTCCTTTAGTTCGTGCTCACGTCGATTGCGAAACGCTTCAAAGTCATCCCAGCTTTCCTAATCGCTCATCGAACCTAAAAAAATAAAATTATCAAAGAAAACGAATAAGAAATGGTCGAAAAGCAGTAGAAATAAGTAGAAACAGTAGAAAGAAGTATAGAAGCAGTAGAAAGAAGCAGTAGAAGAAGAATTGAATGAAAATGTTATAGTTGCAAGTAAAGCAATGGTTTGATGGAAAAGAAATGGATGCTTTTGATTTTGTTTTTGTTTTTCGAATCATTTGCTCAATCGAAAATCCTTTTTTTTCAATCAAAAACGAGCAAATTCAAGAATAAATTTGATCAAAAAAGCAAAAAGAAAGCAAAAAAAGCAAAAAGAAAGCAATATTCAATTTCTGGTATGCTAAATTTTCTTAAATAACTTTGATTCAAATGACGAATGACTCAAGAATTTCGATTATGACGCAAAAGTGAAAGAAAAAAAAACCGGCTTTTCAGCTCTGCGTCACGAAAATCAAAATGAAATTCGTTTGTGCACCAAAAAGGGTGTATTTTTGAGCACTAAAGTACTAAAGAAAAAGCTAAAACAAAGATTCCATTCAATAAAGTCATCGATTCATCGATTCAGCGCTCAATAAATCATCGTTTTTTTAAGAAATCATCGTTTTTTAAGAAATTTCTTTCTTTCTTGGGATTTCTTGGGACAATTTCTTGAAAACGAGACCGATTTGTGGGCAAAAGAGACGAAATTGGCTCCATTCAAATCGCCAAAATTTCAAATGGTAAATGGTAGACTGGATCAGAATCAGTTCTGTAAAGCTAGGCCAGTTTAGGCCAAGCCTAAATCATTGCGATGCAGTTTTTCCGGTGATGCAAGAACAAGATCGATCTGGGAAAAGATCAAGTCACTGCTATGCAATTTTTTGCAAATCCAGGCATCGTTTAAAGCATTTGAAATGATAGAACTTTTGAAAATGATAGAAAACTCATAAACCAAACAAAAAAAACGAGGAAGTGTTCTCTTTTGTGGCCTAATCGAGAGAAAAAAGGTTCCCTTTTCACTCAGAAAAAGGCTCGATTCGATTCGCATTCTGAAAAAGACAAAATTCCATAAAATGTGGCCTGTTGTGCGCACTTTTATTGTCAAAAAGAGTTCATTGTTGAGGAAAGATCGTAGAAAATGAAAGAAATTGAAAGAAAATGAAAGAAATTGAAAGAAATTGAAAGAAAATGAAAGAAAATAGCTAAGAAAACGAGAAAATGTATGAAAAATGTATGAAAAATACTTGAAAAATACCAGAAATCTAATCAAATCAAGTTCTAAAATAGTTTACCGTCATCTTTATACTATGATATAGCTCTACAGATTACCACAAAGTACTCTAGACTACAAATTACAGCTTACAGTACGTTTAGAAAGTTTTGAAAGCAAAATCCAGCAAAATCCATCAATTTTTTTGTCTATTGATCGATAAACATCAAAAAAAAAATCAAAAATCGAAAAATCGAAAAACTGAGAGATATGAGAATGATCTGAAATGAAAATTGAGTAAAAAAAAGGATTTCTCCTGCCTCTGACATCTAATTTTACTGTGTCAGCTGTTCTTTTTCACCGGAAAACACAATGATCGTCATTGAAAGTGAAAGAAAAAAAGACAAAATTGATGTATTTTTTGATTGATTGATCAAATTGATACCAAATACAACTAAACTTCGATTTTTATAAGTATAAACATGTAAACAAGCCGATTATTCACCCAAAAATTGATTGAAAATCTTTTTTAATGACTTTAGTGATTAGATAAAGATTAATTGTAATGTTTTTGAGGTTTAAATTTGTAAATATAAACCATAAGCTAAAGATAAACCAAAGAAAAGATAAAGAAAAGATAAATCAAAGAAAAGATAAACGTTAAACCAAAGATAAACGTTAAACCAATGATAAACCTTAAACTAATGATAAACGTTAAACCAATGATAAACCAAAGAAAAGATAAACCAAACCAAAGATAAGCCTTAAACCAAAGATAAACCTTAAACCAATGATAAACCTTAAACCAATGATAAACCTTAAACCAATGATAAACCTTAAACCAATGATAAACCAAAGAAAAGATAAACCAATGATAAACCTTAAACTAATGATAAACCTTGAACCAATGATAAACCAAAAAAAAGATAAACCAAACCAAAGATAAGCCTTAAACCAAAGATAAACCTTAAACCAAGGATAAACCTTAAACCAGTGATAAACCTTAAACCAATGATAAACATGTAAACCAGTGATAAACCTTAAACCAATGATAAACCAAAGAAAAGATAAAGAAACCAAAGATAAACCTTAAACCAATGATAAACCAAAGAAAAACCAAAGAAAAGATAAACCAAATCAAAGATAAACCAATGATAAACCTTAAACCAATGATAAACCAATGATAAACCAATCTTTTCAGATTTAAAACAAAACCCCAATGCAATATGTTAATTGTTGAACAAAAATTCATCAAATATACCGTTCAGATTTGTTTCCGGAAACTCGTTTTTTCCGAGAAAAGATCAAGAAATGGGTAAACAATGAAGTCAAGAATGATATGATTGAGAAAAAGAAAAGAATAGCGAATGAAATACTCAAATAAAACTTGAAGAACTTGTTTGTTGTCGAGAGAAAAGAAAAGCACACTTTTAAGCAAATAGAAGTTTTGTGAGTTTGGCTTAGGATGAAGGTTTTTGTAGCTTTTCGTAGCTTTTCGGAGCTTTTCTTAGCTTTTTTTAGCTTTTCGTAGCTTTTCGTAGCTTTTTTTAGCTTTTCGTAGCTTTTCGTAGCTTTTCTTATCTTTTCGGAGCTTTTTGTAGCTTTTCTTAGCTTTTCGGAGCTTTTCTTAGCTTTTCTTAGCTTTTCGTAGCTTTTCTTAGCTTTTCGTAGCTTTTCTTAGCTTTTCTTAGCTTTTCGGAGCTTTTCTTATCTTTTCTTAGCTTTTTGTAGCTTTTCTTAGCTTTTCGGAGCTTTTCGTAGCTTTTCACCTTTCTAAAATCCAGAAGGTACAAATGTACTCTGATTTCTTGCAAACGAATCCCTTCTAGCCCACCAAACAAGCTCAGCTTCATTTGGTTGCTCGCTTTGATAAGTTTCCCGCTTAGATAAAACAATGATAAGGGCTTAGTGCGATAGAACTTCTTCTATCGCACTAAGCCCTTATCATTGTTTTATCTAAGCGGGCAACTTATTGTGTTGACAAGAGCAAAAAGTAAACCCAAAGCAAGAGCTGCTAAAAAAAAGCTAATCAAAAACTACAAGTTTAACTTTTAACAGTTTTAAACAGATTTTTATGATGATGAAGTTGAAAAGTAAAGCGATTCTTTCTTGTCGACTCACTGTCAACTTTGAATCACAAGTATCAATATTGAGAACGGAGAAAGGATTGGGTTTAAGCTTTGGCATGGAGAAGAAATAGAAAATATAATAGAAAATGTGATAGAAAATATGATAGAGTTAAAGCAAATCGATAGAAAATATAATACAAAAGTCTAGGATCGAAAAAATCTGATCAAAACAGACTAATGAGGGCTTTTTGGACTAATGGATTAAAGTCAAGAGTAGTCAAGACAGCTTTTTTTTGTCGTTAGTTCAAACACAGCTATGGTCGACTGACTAAGAGTCTTGTATCTTAGTCGGGAGATCAAGGATTTAATACCTGGCTAGATTATTGGCTTCTTTGACCATCTACCGTAAAAGCTATAGTAACATTTAAAGGTTCAAAGGATCGTTTAAAGATTGAAAGGATCGTTTAAAGATTCAAAAGATCGTTCTAAGGATCGTTCAAAGATTCAAAGCTTAGTCCAAAGCTTCAAAGGATCATTGAAAGCTTCAAAGGATCATTCAAAGATTCAAAGCTTAGTCCAAAGCTTCAAAGGATCATTGAAAGCTTCAAAGGATCATTCAAAGATTCAAAGCTTAGTCCAAAGCTTCAAAGGATCATTCAAAGATTCAAAGGATCATTCAAAGCTTCAAAGGATCGTTCTAAGATTCAAAGGATCATTGAAAGCTTCAAAGGATCATTCAAAGCTTCAAAGGATCATTGAAAGTTTCAAAGGATCATTCAAAGATTCAAAGCTTAGTCCAAAGCTTCAAAGAATCATTCAAAGAGTTGTTTCTCAAAAACTGCTCGCTTTTTCAATATTTTGTATTGCTTGACGTCTTGTTAAAGCAAATCGACAATGGAAAAGCTCACTCATACTTGGGATTCCTTGGGATTCCTTGGGATTCATTCGAAGTCATTCCTCAATCTTTCAAAAGCTGTGCTGTTGGACTTAGATAAATTTCCCTACATTTAAAGCATAGGCATTAGTGTTTAAGACCAGCTTTTGCACTTTTTGTATCACATTTAATGAAGAAATGCATTTTTAAATGTAAATTGGCTAGCAGGACTGAAAATTAACCAAAATTAATCAAAATTAACCAAAATTAATCAAAATTAACCAAAATTAACCAAAATTAACCAAAATTAACCAAAATTAAGCAAAATTAATCAAAATTAACCAAAATTAATCAAAATTAATCAAAATTAAGCAAAATTAACCAAAATTAAGCAAAATTAACCAAAATTAAGCAAAATTAACCAAAATTAAGCAAAATTAACCAAAATTAAGCAAAATTAACCAAAATTAAGCAAAATTAACCAAAATTAACCAAAATTAACCAAAACAAACTTCAGGGAAATCAAAGCAAGAGACAAGACTGGCAGGCAGCCTCTTCAGAAGAGTTTCCCCCTCCATTCCATTCCCCTCCATTCCCCTCCATTCCATTCCCCTCCATCCACTCATTCAAGTGTCCCTTTCCCCCACTCATTCCCTCATTTTCCCCTTTCCCGTCAATGATCCCATCCCCCTCTTGGAATCGTCAGAAAATGAGTGCCTTAGAGGATTGATGCCTGTGTTTTTTTTTGTGGATAAATCGATCAGAGAGTGGAGGGGAAACTCTTCTGAAGAGGATTTGAATAGATTGATCGTATTGATCTAATTGATCGTATTTTTCATGGCTAGAGAAGCTAGAGTAGTTCAGGATCGAGATCTCATCCAAAAAATGAAAAGTAAACTACTTATCGATTTTAAAACCTTAAATTTCGCAGATCTGGATGTCACATAACATTTTGAAGTCGCATTCCAGTACATAGGAGCTTTTCGGAGTCTCGACTTTTGACCTTTGACGATCTCGGCGAAATAAGAAAAATTACATTGGCTTTAAATTTCTAAACACTAGAAATCTTCGATCTGGATGTCACAGATCATTTTAAAACTTTAAAAATAGATATATTCCTTAGGTGTTCGAGTGGCCGAGTGGTTAGCGCGCTATCTGAGGGTCCGTTCTGTCTGTCTGTCTGTCTGTCTGTCTGTCTGTCTGTCTGTCTGTCTGTCTGTCTGTTAAAATCCGCTGTGAACTGATTTCTATAAACTTTTAAACGATTACTATAGACGTAATACTATAGATTACTCCAAAACTTCATTAATCCAGCTAGAAAAATCGGCCGTTTAATGGAATTATGAGAAACTGGATCTCTCAACTAGAGAAAAGTATCAATTTCAACTGATTAGACTTAGCTTATTGCTTTGGAAAGTCCTGGAAAGTCCTGGAAAGTCCTGGAAAGTCGGGGGAAATCTTGGAAAGTCCTGGAAAGTCCTGGAAAGTCTTGGAAAGGCCTGGAAAGTCTTGGAAAGTCCTGGAAAGTCCTGGAAGGTCCTGGGAAGTCTTGGAAAGTCCTGGGAAGTCTTGGAAAGGCCTGGAAAGTCCTGGAAAGTCCTGGAAAGTCTTGGAAAGGCCTGGAAAGTCTTGGAAAGTCTTGGAAAGGCCTGGAAAGTCTTGGAAAGTCCTGGAAAGTCTTGGAAAGTCCTGGAAAGGCCTGGAAAGTCTTGGAAAGTCTTGGAAAGTCTTGGAAAGGCCTGGAAGGTCATGGAAAGGCCTGGAAAGTCCTGGAAAGCGAAAGAATGCAAAAGTAAGCTAAAAACCCAGAAGATTGATCGGATTTTAGTCATAGAATCATTAAAAAATGAATCAGTAATCAGTAATGATTAAAGAATGAATATGTGTAGTGAAATGAAAAACTCGGGAATGATTAGTGTCTACAGGTGACCGGACAATCACCCGCTTTTGCCCAATCTCCCGCTGAGACGCCTCATAATTCCATGATTAACATCTAAAGAACACGTTTCTTTTGTTAAAAATCAAGAGTGCAGTAGGAAAAGTGCGTTTGCAAGCAACAAAGGAAAGGAAGGAAAGCAAAAAAGAGAATTTGAAGTCGTTTAGAAGTAGAAATTGAAGAGAATTGAAGAAGAATTGAAGACATAAGACAAATTGAAGACAATTGAAGACAATTGACGACAATTGACGACAATTGACGACATTTGACGACATTTGACGACATTTGACGACAATTGACGACATTTGACGACATTTGACGACAATTGACAACAATTGACAACAATTGACAACAATTGACGACAATTGACGACAATTGAAGACAATTGACGACAATTGACGACAATTGAAGACAATTGAAGACAATTGACGACAATTGACGACAATTGACGACATTTGACGACATTTGACGACAATTGACGACATTTGACGACATTTGACGACAATTGACGACAATTGACAACAATTGACGACAATTGACGACAATTGACAACAATTGACAACAATTGACAACAATTGACAACAATTGACGACAATTGAAGACAATTGACGACAATTGACGACAATTGACGACAATTGACGACAATTGACGACAATTGACGACAATTGACGACAATTGACGACATTTGACGACATTTGACGACATTTGACGACAATTGACGACAATTGACGACAATTGACGACATTTGACGACATTTGACGACAATTGACGACAATTGACAACAATTGACAACAATTGACGACAATTGACGACAATTGACGACAATTGACGACATTTGACGACAATTGACGACATTTGACGACAATTGACAACAATTGACAACAATTGACAACAATTGACAACAATTGACAACAATTGACGACAATTGACGACAATTGACAACAATTGACGACAATTGACGACATTTGACGACATTTGACGACATTTGACGACAATTGACGACAATTGACGACATTTGACGACAATTGACGACAATTGACGACAATTGACGACAATTGACGACAATTGACGACAAATTAACGACAAATTAACGACAAATTAACGACAAATTAACGACAATTAACGACAAATTAACGACAATTAACGACAAATTAACGACAATTAACGACAAATTAACGACAAATTAACGACAAATTAACGACAAATTAACGACAAATTAACGACAAATTAACGACAAATTAACGACAAATTAACGACAAATTAACGACAAATTAACGACAAATTAACGACAAATTAACGACAAATTAACGACAAATTAACGACAATTTGCCCTTTGTAGACAATTAAAGACAATTTATAATTGAAAAGTACAATTTAAAGTATCAAGAAACTTTCTCTGTACTCTAAATACTACTTAAAGTAAGGCACAATGGGTAAACTAAAGCAAAGTAGTAAAGTAAAGCAAAGTAGTAAAGTAAAAGTCGATTTAATGTTGATAACAGTACAATGTTATACCTTTAATAATAACAATCTTTTGCAAAAATTTGAAGAAATCCTTCTTCTTTTTCTTCTCAAAGTTTATTTGATGTCTTTTCTTTGTCTTTCGCCATTCGATATTTGTACAAAAGAATCTCAAGTCAAATATTTCTGTTCTCTTTTCTCTTCTGAGATGGTCTAGATGCCAGCTTGGTTAGGGGATAGAGAAGAAAGGGAAGAAGAAAGGAAAGAAAGGAAAGAAAGAAGAAAGGAAAGAAGATAGAAAAGAAGGAAGAAAGGAAAGAAGGTAGAATAGAAAGAAAGAAAAACTCTTGACAAATAAGCTATAAGGATGAGTAAGTTAGACTTATTTGAAGGAGATGATTTGAAGCCTTGGAAATTTGTTGTAGTACAGTTATGAGTATTTAATAGAGTTCAATGAGTACTGTAGCATAACTGCTAAAGTTACAGTGTAGTACAGCTGTAATCTACAGTACAGCTGATAAATCTACAGTAATATAGCTCATAGTTATCGACTCAGCTTTGACTCAACTCTAAATCTTAAAGAACTGATATAAAGCTGACGGGAAAGACTTATTAAAGGCTCCGGATTGAGGCTTGATTTTCCCTAGCGGCAATTGGGTTTAGCTGTGAGAGAGAAGTCGATGGGACAATGATTATTTAGGCTTAGGGCTTTTATTCCGAATCTAACACAGTGTTTTTTCAAATCAAATCAAATTTCAGTATTTTAAAAGCCAAAGGAAAAGAACACAAAGCCTTTCTCCCCTTCAATAGTAGCCTCTCCCCTCCAATAGTAGCCTCTCCCCTCCAATAGTAGCCTCTCCCCTCCAATAGTAGCCTCTTCCCTTCAATAGTAGCCTCTCCCCTTCAATAGTAGCCTCTCCCTTCCAATAGTAGCCTCTCCCTTCCAATAGTAGCCTCTCCCTTCCAATACTACCCTCTCCCCTTCAATAGTAGCCTCTCCCTTCCAATAGTAGCCTCTCCCCTCCAATAGTAGCCTCTCCCCTTCAATAGTAGCCTCTCCCTTCCAATAGTAGCCTCTCCCCTTCCAATAGTAGCCTCTCCCCTTCAATAGTAGCCTCTCCCTTCCAATAGTAGCCTCTCCCCTCCAATAGTAGCCTCTCCCCTCCAATAGTAGCCTCTCCCCTTCAATAGTAGCCTCTCCCCTTCCAATAGTAGCCTCTCCCTTCCAATAGTAGCCTCTCCCCTTCCAATAGTAATCGTAATCGTAATCGTAATCGTAAAGTAATAAACAGTAAATCAGTTTTCTTTCGGGCAAAAATGAGAAAATTTGTCGATGTCGATGGCTATTTGTCGATTTTGGACTAAAACTATAAGTCTAGTTTCATAATTTGGAAGTAGAGAAGAAAGTAGAGAAGAAAGGAAATACTTTTCCTTTTATGTATGAGTGTATGCTTTTTTAGGGAAAACTCGTTGAACATTTTCAATTTTTTAATCATTTTTATCAATATAAAAGCTTTGAATTTTATCAATTTTGCATTTAAAAAGATCAATTTTGCATTTTAAAAGGATCAATTTTGCATTTTAAAAGGATCAATTTTGCATTTAGAAAGAGAAAATCCCTTTTTGCAAAGCATTTCAGTATTTCAGCTGTTTTCCTTTAACAGAATCCAGAATTTAACAGATTTCTCTATCAAATTTACAGCAAATTTAAGGCAAAAATTGATTTGGAACATGACGATTTGGTCTTTTATTTGTTTAAACCACTTAAGAGGTCAATGTTTTGCCCAAAAACTCGGCCTTGAGCAAACGCGTTGATCTCCAATCTATTGTCTTTTTTTCTGTCTTTATTTTCTTTTCATTATTGTCTTTTATGTTCATGTCAAAAGATGTTTGCAAGATTGAGAGATCTTTGCGGTCTTGAAAGATCTGCGGTCTTGAGAGTTCTTTTCGGTCTTGAGACATCTTTACAAAAGTGTCAAAGTGGTCTTTGCTTTTGTTTTCATTTCTTCTTTACCCTATTATTAGGTACATGCATAAGAAATGCGAATTTCAACATTTTCATAAATTCCCAATGATAGAAACATCGATGAATCAACGATGAATCATCAAACATCCATGAATGTTATAAACTATTTGAAAGTTGTAAATCTCCTCTACAAAATAGGCTAAAACGTGTTTCAATTGATCGAACCATCGAAGAAATTTCGAAGGTGAAAGAAGTTTCGCTCAAGCTATTCCATGAAGGAGATGAGGATCTCGAAGATATGGTGGCCCGATGCCGCTCACGGCTGCTTGACAATGAAGACTTGAAGCGCTTTGTCAAAGTTGATCCTCGGATCCCTAAGTCTAAGCTTAAGCCTAAGCCTAAGCCTAACCAAATCCAAATAGACTTAGTGCGAGGCCTAAGCCTAAGCCAAGCCTAAGCCCGCTAGTTTTCGCACTAGGTCCACGCCTAAGTCTAAGCCTAAGCCAAGCCTAATCCTGAGCCAAGTCAAGCCAAGCCTAAGCCAAGCCAAGCCTAGGCCTAAGCCAAGCCAAGCCAAGCCTAAGCCTAAGCCAAGCCAAGCCAAGCCTAGGCCTAAGCCAAGCCAAGCCAAGCCTAAGCCTAAGCCAAGCCAAGCCAAGCCTAAGCCAAGCTTAATCCTGGGCCAAGTCAAGCCAAGCCAAGTCAAGCCAAGCCTAAGCCAAGCCTAAGCCAAGCCTAAGCCAAGCCAAGCCAAGCCTTAGCCTAAGCCAAGCCAAGCCAAGCCTAAGCCTAAGCCAAGCCAGGCCTAAGCCAAACCACGCCTAATCCAAGCCTAAGCCTAGCCAAGCCTAAGCTAAGCCTGAGCTTGTAAAACACTTTGGTGTTTGAGTTATGACAGTTAGCGATCATTTGAAAGAGATTGGTGTCGAAGTTGAGTATGAAGAAGGCAGTTATTTTCCGTAGTACGTAATAGCACAAGCACTACATTACTGTGGGTACTTTAAGTACTAATAAGTACTAGAAAGTTTGAAAGAAATTGCAGTAAAAAAATGAAAGTGTACAAATCTCTGAAAGTTTTTGGCATAAGAACCTGATAAACGAAAGCGAAACGAGGGGAAAGATGATAAGAATGTGCGGGATTTAGAATTGGGTCTCTTTGGTCTCTTTTTCTTTGGAATGGGTCTCTTTTTAAATCACAAGACGGATAAAGACAATAGAAATGGAAAAGAAGAAAAGAAGTTTGATTTTGAATCATGAAAACAATGAAAAGCTTTTGAAATTCATTGAAATGTTTTTAAAAATCGATTTTCGAGCTGAAGATTTAGGGATGGACAGGAAAGTGTAATGGAAAGCACATGGATCGAGAAAAGAAAGAAGGGAAGGAAGAAAGAAAGAAGAAAGAAGGGAAGAAAGAAAGAAAGAAAGACAAGAGTCAGCTGGTTAGATAATAAAGTTTCATAAATCAAAGATTATCAGAAAAGATCTAGATATAATAAGGGCTTTTAATGGAATTTATCTTTAGCGTTAGAGTAGAGCGATATCTTTTCGTGTTAATGACCCGTCGTAAATGTGTTAAAATCGGGTTTCATTTGAGTGAGTCAATCAAATGAATCCCTCCAATCGATTCACCGTCCTCGAAAACCCTTAGGACAAATTTACGCCTATTTAAGCATCTCGTTATCTTCTCTTTAAGCAATCTACACTAAAAGAAAATCCGGAAGTCACTGGCGAGCTGTTCTTTGTAAGCCCGCTCTCTATCGCGCGCATCGCTCTCTATCGCGCGCATCGCTCTCTATCGCGCGCATCGCTCTCTATCGCGCGCATCGCTCTCTATCTGGCATACCCATTGCGTATATAACATCTCATCTCATCTCAGCTAACATCTCAGCTGTTATCTACTCGAGGAGATCTTCTATAGCTCAATTTCAAGCTTCCAGCTTTTCCAGCACCCTATCTCCCTTTTGCAATCAATGTTTTCAAATTAAGTTCAAGGTTTTAATAAGTTCAAGGTCTCGGAAATCTTTTCAAAAAGAGGGAAAAAGTATGGAGAGGCGATGTTACACAGTTT